CAAGAGACAGCAAGAGAGGTGAGACGTTTTGCGCGGAAGTCATCTTTCAGGAGACATGTGTTAAAATCACCCATAATAATGGTGTGATTATAGGATGGAATTAAGTTTTCTAGGGTATTTTCAAGAGAATCAAAATAATCGATAGAGGACTATAAAATACGCCAAGGAATGTGAAAGATTGACATCGATAAATAGGAATTCAGGATCATAAGAAGGATTGGAATTATTAGAACAATTTATAATCTTGTAAGCAAAATTAACGCGAAGATAAATTGCGACTCCACCGCCACCTGCCAATGCTCGGTCATTACGAATAAGATTAAAACCAGGCAAATCGTATGAGGCAGATGACAGACATGGTTTCAGCCAGGATTCCGAGACTAGAATAGCATGTACATTATTGACGTCAAAAGATGCAAGTAGATCCGGGTAGTGGGCTGGACTACTTTGTGCGTTAATATGAACTATATTGAAGTTCTTATGTGTGCTGTCAAAATTCCATTTTAAAATCTCATTTAGAGGGATAGGGTCACTGAAAGTAGAATCATAACTAGATGACGATAAACAAGAAGAAAAAGAGCAATTACCTTGATCAAACATATAAATAAGATATTATAAAATTAAATAATAATTAATAATATTTATATATATACCCAACCAGGTCGCCCTCTTCGCGGTTCCTCCTGGAAACTATCATGGTTAATTCCTGATGAATTCATCATGATGGGCTAACTGGCCTGTTTTTATTCTCATCTATCACCCTTCACTGGTGCTTCGCCAGCGTATCCCGTTAAGGCAGGCGGGGTTACCATACCATTTTCACCCATCAAAAAAAATGTGAATTCAGGTGTTACTTCTCTTCATACCTCGTAAATATTGTATCCCCTATCCTTCTCTGACATCAGCGGCTATTGAAGTGTAGACTAGAGACTTTACCAGAGGAAAATTTTGTACAAAAGTTGATTGCTTGGGTACCTCTGTCCCACTCGTGTTTCAACCTTAAAGCAGTTGTGTTTGCATGGCTGTGTTTCGGTTTGAAGATTGGGATATGGCGTGAATTTACAGGGTACAGAGAAATAACACCTGAGTCCTCAGGAATGGCAACACATGGGGGGTATCATGGGCGAAACAGTATACTCTATTATGTCCATGGTACTGCTGATATCTATAGGCGACGGTTACCACTTTCCATCAGTTGGGTCGTCAGCTTGTTTACTATTCTAAGTTGTATAAAAAAAAAGACTAGAGACACCCATCAGGGAATGGTAACTGACGAGTGTTTGAGAGGGGGTGAGGCAGGCCCGCTGCAGGCGGCAGGGAGTACTAATAAAAAATAATTTGCATTTCTTTATTAGCATAAAGAACGTGCTGCATGAGAAATTTATAACCAGTGTAATGGAAGATGGTGATTAAGACATGGTAGTTTTACTAGTTTGTAATTTTACTTCATTTACATAATTTATTTACATTGTAATGCGAATGAAAATACCACAGATATCAGGTTTGTACAAGGCGGTGTGTTTTGAAATTTTTTCCACATATTACGAATGTTGCTAGTAACAGAATGTATGTTTAAAAATATATGTTTATTTTTAACTAGTGGCGCCACCTTGTGTCGAATGGGTATTGTGATGGTGTCTGTAGGATATGTGAAGACACCACGCCGGCATACACAGACCATCATTGTATGCCGGCTGAAGAAACCCAGTGACCCGGAGGTCGTCGCCTCCGGAGTAAAAGCCGGGGTAGTGGGGTACATCCCGAGGCTCCTACCTCGCCTGCCCACACATCATCCGGTGGGCAAGAGATGGCCATGTTGTTGTTGTTGTAGGATATGTATGTATGTGTATTTAATACGCCACGCCGACATACACAGACCATCCGTGTATGTCGGCTTAAAACCAAGTGACCCGGAGGTTGTTGCCTCCGGAGTTGAAGCCGGGGCAAAGGGGTATGCCCCGAGGCCCCTACCTCGCTCACCCACACCATCTAGCGGGCAAAGAGACGACCTTATTGATTGATAGGATATGTATTAATATTTTTTAAATACAGACTTGCCCATACGAAAATAGCTGATACAAATGAATGGTCTGAAACAAATGGCAGATTATTTTCTCGTCAGAAATGCACCACAGCCATAGAATTAATGATTGCCAGTTTTGACATCATGCAATGTCATTGAAATACGATCCAAACGACGTGTGATACCTACAATGTGCGTTCAATAACGCGCTTCTTCGTAGGTAGTTTTTGTACGTACCTTTTTCCCTTGATATATATATATATTGATACAGCTGATTCCACTGTGAATTATTAAATTGTATTCATTCTAAGTTGAATAACAAAAAAAGTATAGTATTCATAGATTACAAAATTTTAAATGAAAAGCAAGAAATAAATTTTAAATTTTGTGGAAAGAATTTCCTATGGTTTTCAGTTCAGGATAATGTTATGTTTTCACTATTTTAGTTTTTGCCAACTTGCCCCTTACACCCGGTATATTTAAAATAAAACATATATATATATATATATATATATATATATATATATATATATATATATATATATATATATATATATATATATATATATATATATATATATATATATATATATATATCCACATATATTCAATTATTAAATAATTATTATATTTAAATCAAATCATATTTATTCGCTTGCTAAATGGTACAATAAGAAGTTACATATACAAGTAGATACACAACATGCAGCAGCCCGCAGAGGTATGCAAATGTAAGGTAAGTAAGGTAAGGTAAAAGGTAATTTAGTCTCTACATTATATATTACAATTATAAAGTCGAAAAATGATTAAAAAAATCCTCATTATTTGGAAGAGAGGAGAGGACGTCCAACAACGCTACCAGAAAACCACGCCTCACTCTCAGCGAAACATAGTTCCCGTCAACCGGAGGTAGTTGACTCCGGAATTTAAGCTGGGGCAAAGTGGTCCATCCGGAGGCTCCCACCTAACCCGACTTTTTTATCAAGGGGAAATTCTTCGAAAGTGATCCATCCGCCGGTGGGACGACGAATGGGTGCTATGGGATTCTCACCCACTAAAAACCTCTTGGGTTGTGCACTGCGCAAAAACATTACGTCGATCCCAAATAGATATAGGAAAAGGGCAAGAAGAAAAGGAATTGCTACGTTGCCATATCGGTAAGGAGAATTATTAACAATAATAACGATGGTCGTGATATTAATATCATTGTGGTATCAATATTAGAATAAATAATACGAATCCCGTACGTGTTTCTATCGTGAAGCAGTTGTGTTTGCATGGCTGTGTTTCGGTTTGAAGGGTGGGATATGGCGTGAATTTACAAGGTACAGAGGATTAACACCTGAGTCCTCAGGAATGGCAACGCATGGGGGGTATCATGGGCGAAACAGTATACTCTGTTATGTCCATGGTACTGGTCATGTCTATAGGCGACAGTTACCACTTTCCATCAGGTGGGCCGTCAGCTTGTTTGCCATTCTAAGTTGTATAAAAAAAGAATACCAATATGAATTTAAGGGGGGAGAAGGGATTGTTAGTAATGGAGATAAGCAAACCCATTGCTAACAATAGACTCTACTAGGTCGACCTCCATACGGTTCGCTCTGGAAAGCATCATGACTGATTTATTGTTGAATTCATCACGATAGGCCAACTGTCCTTTTACACTAAAATTTCATCCCAACCATCTGGACGAGTGGCGGTCCTCCACTGTGCGTTTTTCAAGGCACTTTCTCCCACGCACAACCACTCTTTGGAATCAACTTCCTGCAGCAGTATTTCCGAACCGATACGACAACATAACCTTCAAGAAAAGAGCATATTCCTTTTTAAAAGGCCGGCAGCACACCTGCAATGCCGTAGGTGTTGTGGGTGATTATGGGCGGCGGTAGTCACTTACCATCAGGTGAGCCGCATGCTCGTTTGCCCCCTGTGTTGTAAAAAAAAAAAAAAAACATTAAAACAAATATATAACTTTAAAATCAAATATAAAGTTTTTACTGTAAGTAAATATACTATTTATTTAGTATAATGAAGTATTTAGTTATTAATAGTTAGTAACAATAAAACTAAGTGTGCGATTTTATAAAACATACAACTAAATGATCTATTATGTACTATACATACATAATTTCAATACCTTTATATAAATATACTGTACATAAATGATTGCTTTAAAATCATCATGATGTATTCAAGTTATTAGGACGAGGACTTCCAGTAATATTTAGGTATAATTGATGTAAGTTTTTATATGTAAAGTAAAATAAAGTAAAATAAAATAAAAAAATAAAATGTACGTACAAAAAATGCAAATGACTGTTACTTCATTCATTTCAACCGAAGCGAATTGTGGTGCTAACGTGTTTTCGTATAAATGCAAATAACATTTGTAAATAATTATTAAGTGTATTCACTAATAAATCAATAATAATAACCTTAAATATAAATAATTATTGTGAATTGCAAATGCAAAACTTTATTTTATTTAATTAATTTATGTAAAATAATTCAACAACAAAAAGTTAAATAACAAACGTAAAATTATTGTGATTGTGAAATGCAAAAAAATGAAATTTAATTTAATAAACAAATAATATTATTATATAACAAATGATCGTAAAAATTGGATCGTAGGATTAAATATCATAAATTATTGTTTGTGAAATGCAAACAAAATAATAAATTTAATTTAATGAAACAAAATAATAATTAGACAAAAAATAAATTGAACTTCAAGATTAAAATTATTGTGATTGTGAATTGCAATTAGAAATTTTATTTTAATAAAATAATAATATCATAACAAATTAATTGGATTACAAGATTAAATATCATAAATTATTGTGCTTGTGAAATGCAAACAAAATAATTAATTTAATTTAATAAAACAAAATAAAAATTAGACATTAAATAAATTGAATTTCAAGAATAAAATTATTGCGATTGAGAAATGGAAAAATAAAAATTTATTTTATTTATTTAATTTAATTAAATAATATTTTGGCAAGCGGAAAATAAAAACACAGTGTGTGAACATACCGTTAATTTCAAGTGTGGATAAAGCGATAATCAGATAAATATTACATATATATGTCAGAGATGGCAGATTTGATTTATTTTAGAATACAGACACAAATGTTGCCATATCTAATATTCGTGTTCATATCTGTAAGTGGCGTGCTCAGTGGGAGATCATGCTACTGGAACGCGCAGTGCTCCTTTCAGTTGTACTCCTCGAAAACACCATACGACACCGTCCGAGGGGACATAAGGGACCAACCTAATCTACCAAGTAAGTAAACCATAGTTTTAAACAGGTATGATATCGAAGTCGTAAGCTATATATGAAACTAACGAACTACCCAAGCTATAGAAAGAATAATATATCACTTAAAAAAATCCGAAAATTTTAAATAAAAAAATAATTGTAACCCATGTTTCTATGGAAATGTATTCAGTTTTACTGGTAGTGTACTTTTTTTTTATGGTAGTGTACTTATAAAATAAAAGATGCTAACTATTTCGAATTGAACCTGTATAAGAACTAATATACTTCGCAACAAAACCCGGTGACTGTAAACGTAATAACCTTTAACGGTGTAAAATTTTAAAACAATTATTTAGTTATAAAGCTTATTATAGTCAATGTAATGTGAATTGTATTACTGTTGCTGTGCCGAAATAAATGAATAAGTAATAAATATAAGTATTGACGTAAATAAATATTGTATTATCACGTTTAAAAAAAAAAAGAATTCAATGATCGTTAAGAGAATATTGGAATTTAGAATTTCTAGATTTTATCTCGTAAAAAATAAGTTTTTATAATAAAAAGTGGGTTTCAACAATAAAATCAAAGGTCATAAAGAAAAAAATAAAGTTATATCATGTTTTAAGTTGGCAGAAAAATTTATCTTTCAGTCAGTATGAACAGTACCATGGACATAACAGAGTATACTGTTTCGCCCATGATACCCCCCACGCGTTGCGATTCCTGAGGACTCAGGTGTTATTCCTCTGCACCCTGTAAATTCACTGCCACATCCCACCCTTCAAACCGAAACACAGCCATGCAAATACAACTGCTTCACCGTAGAAACAAGAATGGGACAGAGGTACCCAAGCAAACGACTTTTGTACAGTCTCCCTCTATTAAATTGAGTAACTATGTAACATTATGTCAAATAGAGATGTAGAACTTTTTTAAATGACTGGAAGTGAAATGTCCCTCCTGTGGTATCGGTTTACGTTGGCGGGGCACCAAGGAAAGACTTTTTCAATACATGATTTGTACCCCCGACTACGCTAACGGTATACGCTGGCGGGACGCTAGTGAGGGATGATAGATGAGAAATGAAAAGGCAAGTCAGTTAGCCAATTGTGATGAATTCATCTGAAATTCATATTTTTTATTAGATGGATAGATACTCTTTATTGTTTCCTCCAAAAGATTACAATAGTAAATTTATTATAGATACAAACAATTACAAGAAATAATCACAGTAGAGAAAACAATAAGCGACCTTATCGCTAAAAGCGATCTTTCCCTGGCAACCATTGGATGGAGAGGATATAATTATAAAAGGTTTGAAATTAAATTAATTAATTAATTTAAATTATCGATTTTTTTATTTAATTGGTCTAGTTTTAGATTATATAGACATAGTGTCTCCATTACAAAGGTTTCGAGAAAAGAGATATTTTAAAATTTAAAAAAATAAATGGTAAAATAAATAATCACAGTTTTATCTAAGCAATCTGATATAGTGTATGTTGTTCTTGAACCATGCCATCTCCAGTGTGTATTGATAGATAACCTATCTGGACGTTATCATTTTATGTTAATTTCCAGCGAATTATGTTAAGTCACTAGCGTTAAAATCTTAGAGCTGGGTATCATTGCATTTTTTCATTATATTATTATATTTCATTATATAATTATATCCTTTGGCGAGCTAGCAACAACTTTAATACTATTTCTAAAAGTCCTAATATAGATCTATTTTCGAAAAATATAATATCAGTGAGAGACCAACTGAGTAGGCAATTTTTTATTTATAGTCAGTTTGAATAAATATTGTATGGATAAGAAGGCCATATTTTAATCAAATACTAGCAATTAATTTTTATTTTGTATTTTATTCATCATTTTTTTTTTTGTTTTCGTTCCTCTTGTTTGTTCATATTTTTTTTTTGTTCACTCCTATTTTTGTTGCTTTGTGTACACAGCGCCTTGTATCTATATTGTTGCTACTTGTGAAGACCTATTAGTGGCTTATTTTGTGATCCTAAACTGTATCTTTTTGCTCTAGTGTAGCCCTGGTTTTCCTATGAATAAATAAATAATCAAATTTACTTGTTCTTTTTTGAATAGGTGATAATGGAATGGTAACCCCGCCTGCGCTATCGGTATACGCTGGCGGGGCACCAGTAAAGAATAATAGGTGAGAATGAAAAGGCATGTCAGTTAGCCTATCGTGATGAATTCATATGGATTTCAGCACGATTGTTTCCAGAAAAGGCCACTTGAAGCTCGACCTAACAAGGAATATTTCTAGCAATGGAACTAGTAGTAAGCATTAGTGACAATCCCTCATATACACATATATAATTTTTTTTTAATGGATGACAATGAAATTGTAACCCCGCCTGCGCTATCGGTATACACAGGTGGGGCACCAGTGAGAAATGATAGATGAGGATGAAAGCAGGTCAGTTAGCCCATAGTAACGAATGCAAGATGTATTAATCACAATGGTTTCCGTGGGGAACCGCGTGGAGGTCGAGCTGACAGGGATTGCTAGCAATGGGGCTAATAGTCCACATTACTAACAATTCCTTTCCCTCCTACATATACATATTAACAATACATACATAGATATATTTAATCAAATTTGGCTCAATGAAATAGAAGTTTCAAAATGGAATCTTATGATATTTGCTTTAAAGTTTTTTTAATGATTATGCCGTCTTCAAGTTATTAGGAAGTGAGTTACAGAGACGATGATCTCAATCATTACTTATCATTGATGTAAACGATATATTATCATGTATCAGTTGAGTGATTGACACTTTACATACAACTAGTGTTATGATCGAGAATTTGTTTCCTGTGGATATATCTAACGTAATAGACGCTAGTAGGTCGATCATGGCAAGGCAAAAAGATATAATATTTTGCTAATCTAGCGGAAGATGCTCAGACGCAATGCTCACACTAATATAAACAAGTATTTACTAAGAATAATTTTCAGCTTTATGTTCTCCCTCTTAATAAAATAAAAACAATACTACAATACTACGTAATTGTGCACTGAACTATGTTGTTTCATTTGTGATTTCAAGAAATATGTAATTGGTGGATCGCACAGGGTTTCGTCAGTAAACAGTAGATCTTGGGTCTAGTCAAGTCTTGGTATAAGAGATTATACACGTCTCGAAGTATACTGTAATATCCATACGTACAAACAATTGTTATTGTTGTCTTTAGCGGGTTATTTACGAGCGGCTTACGAATAGGACAGAGGTGCAAACGACTTTTGTACAAAGTCTCCTTCTGGTAAAACTTACTAAATTTAAAGTCATTAGGAACCGTTTATGTATTTTTTACTACTAACATTATGGTTTATGTTTGTACAGATTGCGAGGCGGTAAGTGCGTGGACATTGAACAGACATGGCAACAGGAACCCTGGAGATAGCGTTATTGATGATATCAAAGTGATAATTGGACTAAAAGACGAGATTATATCCAGCTACGAAGCTGGCTCTAGTCAACTGTGCTCACAGGTATTAACACTATAAGAGTTTGGAACATTGGATTCTTTAGACCTGTATCTTTTATATTTATTTTCTTATTGTTTTTAAGGGCTTTTTCCTTCTTCTGGTATATCAACCCTATCGTACCCTGCACTGATTTCTCAAATAAAGCTTTATCTGTATTTCCTAGACACGGAAAGAGAGGATTAATGGGCATCAATAATTTACAGAGAATTTCAAAAATTTCTGGTTTAGCTTCAGCTAATATAGAATGAATAAGACCAACATTAAATTTATTTAAGTCAAAGTGGCGCATGAATTCTTCTCTTTCCTTCGTGTTTATACGACACTCTAATAGTATATGTCCTACATCATCGATGGTATCATAAATTTGACAATGGAGTGTCGATGTTCTATCTATATAATCTAAGATAGTAGGTAACATAAGTAAGAAATTGTTACATGTTTTGGTAAAATTACGGTATATTTGTTATTGGTAAAACGTAAAAATTACCGGTTTAACTTACATGTAATTAGATTGAAAATACTCGACTAGTCACATAGAGACACGCAGTCACGCCCGTGTTCGCTTCACGATTAAGGATCACGAATTGATACCGAAACTAGTCGTGCTGAACTTAGTTTTCGATCTAATTACACGTGAGTTCAACCGGCAGTTATTACATTAAAATATAATGCTTACGAAACTTTTAACAATAAAATTGGTAAAACGACCTGTTCTTATTTAGAAAAAGAAATACACACAGGAAACAGATTCGATCACTTCGTCTGTGTGTTCTACAGAGACAAAAATAAACTTACAAAAAACTTATAAAATTATTTTTATATAAAATAGGTATTTTTAATTTATATCACGGTCATTTATGAGACATTAGGAATTAAGGTTAATACGTTCTTTGATTTTTTTGTCGCGCAATGCATATTATTTTCTATTTAATTTATGAATTCTCCAGGATATCGAAAATTTACGTCGCTGGTCCTGGAACGAGACTATCGATGCATCCGCGTCGTTTTTAACAGGGACAGGGTATGAAGAACTGTATGGTATTGGCAAACGGCTCCGAGAAAAGTACCCTCAACTGCTGCCGAGTTCTAATGACAGCTATTACTTCAGAACTACAAATGAGCAGAGAACTGTTACTAGCTCTAAAGCTTTTGTGCACGGATTCACTGATAACACCAATTTGAGTCTCTCAGTTGATGGTCCGTGGGATAGAGATGATCTTATAAGAGTAAGTACTGCTTGAGAAATCGGAATCCATGGAACACTTGATGTGCAACTGCGATTCGTTGGCAAGTATGCGTATGAGTCTACTGGGAACGGCTTATCCAGAACCAGGGGACTACAGATATCTTAAACCGCGGGATATCGTTAATGTAACACAAAGGAACTATGAAATGATGGTATAAGGCAGGGGGAAGCACAAAAGATCCCAATGGGTCGACGTGCAACAGCTTAGCTGACCCCATATGCGATTATAAGGTAAGACAAGTACTGCTTTATATTTAAACTATTTACAAACGAAGAAGGTCAGTAATTATTCTGATTATTTTTATGGTGTACAGTAATCTATAATTGTATTTACCAATAGGAGACTTTGTACAAAATTCGCTTGCTTGGGTGCCTCTGCTCCAATCGTGTTTTTACCCTGAAGCACTTGTGTTTTCATGGCTGTGTTTCGGTTTGAAGGGTGGGATATGGCAGTGAATTTACAGGGTACAGAGTCATAGCATTCCTCAAGAATGGCAACGCATAGAAGGTTTCATGGACGAAACAGTACACTCTGTTATGTCCGTAGTACATGTTTATAGGCGACGATTACCTACTATTAATTTCTAAAATTTGATTTGCAACTATTCGACAAACAACGATATATATTCAAGATGTCCCTGGCATTATTTTTATGTCTTTCAGACTACCAACTCTAATCCTTTCGTTGTGGGGGGAAAGAGATTGTTAGTAATGGAGACTGAGAATCCCATTGCTAGCAATATACCCAACCAGGTCGACCTCCTCGCGGTTCCCCCTGGAAACTATCATGGTTAATTCCTGATGAATTCATCATGATGGGATAACTGGCCTGTTTTCATTCTCATCAATCACCCTTCACTGGTGCTCCGCCAGCGTATCTCGTTAGCGCGGGCGGGGTTGCCATACCATTTTCACTCATCAAAAAAAAATCCTTTCGTTGTAGATATTTTAAAAGTAAACAACCTTTTGAATCCGACTTGTAGTCTTTGCAAGCTTTCGTTATTTATATCATTATCTGTTTTAGCCTTACGAAAATTGTGAGAAATATCAAGTGGAGACAAAAGCAAGTCAAGAATTGGACGATCAACTAACTGCTTATTATAGTTCAGCTGAGTTTATAGCAGTGAGTATTCTAATTCGTAATTAAGTAGATATGAATTTAAATTAGATACACAAACAACCAATATTTAGTTGCAAAATACAATGTATGTACACGAGTTATTATTTTCGTCACGTAATCTACATAACCTTGCTTGCAAACATACAGTAATGCTTCAAACCGAACATTTTATCCATTTTATGGATTGAACGTTTTGAACATCATATCATATCAGCCGTTAATATTGCTGAACATAGGCTTCCCCCATAAAGTTAGTTATGCCGGTAGTTCCCACGCTTGGCAAATAGGTTGGCAACCGCAGTTAGGCTTTGGTAATGTTTTAAAAGGACGCTGCTACCCATCCCTCTACTATAAAGTTCTCTTAGTCGCCATTTATGACGACTACAGCAAAGGAAGGATGCTTATAATCCTTATTAGAAATAACTCGTGTTCTTGTGTTTCACCAGAGGGAGACTTTGTACAAATATCGTTTGCTTGATTATCTCAGTCCTATTCGTGTTTCTACCGTAAAGCAGTTGTATTTGCATTTCGGTTTGAAAGGTGGGATATGGCAGTGAATTTACAGAGTACATAGGCATAGCATCTTAGCCCTTAGGAATGGCAATGCATGGGGTTATCATGGTCGAAACAGTATATTCTGTTATGTCCATGTCACTGCTCATGTTTTTAGGCGACGGTTACCACTTTCCATCAGATGGGCCGTTAGCTTGTTTGCCATTCTAAGTGGCATATAAAAAATGCTTGTAATTGCCAATTTTGAATGGCAGTTTTAACTATTTATAGATGAATCGATAAACAATTTTAATGTGTAACAGGTTCAGAATAATGTCCAGCAACGTCTTGGTATCAATACAAAGTTGTCTTCCAACGACATATACTCCATTTACGAGCTCTGTCGATTTGACCGCTCCTGGACGCCGACTCTGAAGTCTCCTTGGTGTTCAGTGTTCACCGATGATGATTTAGTCGTCTTGGAGTATGAAGATGATGTGTGGCATTACTATAGAAATGGTTACGGGTCTTGGGTGAGTTTGTATTGAAATATTTTCATTAAAAGATTATGAGATGTCATCAATATTAAGAAATGAAATTATTAGGAAATCAAGAATGACCTTCCAATATCCATATTTAAAATGTAGAAGCTCAAGTCCAGAAATATAAAAAAAAAAATATTATCTCGTTTTCTCTTTTTAAAATGACTTGATTTTTTTGTGTATTTTGTTATTTATATTAAAGATAGAGGCATTTTTTGATGATTTTTACTTTTAATCGAAAGGCTTTGAGATATAATGACAAACAACAATTACAAAATACAAACAAAAATATAGGATTAAAATGAATTAATCCCAAAGTGCTTGTTTGTTAAAGGTAAAGAGTCTATTCTTGAAAAAAAATCAAATTATCTTTTAGTATATATATGTATATATTTATTTATTTAAACTTTAATGCATATTAAAACAATGTATATATAGTGGATTTAACACTGGTCATTGTTCTCTACCACTCAACTATTGGGCCAACAGAGAAATAAGTAAGTGGTGCATTATTGAATAGAGAAAATATAAAAAGTAATATTTAATATATTCATGTATATGTGAAATGTATTAGTTTATATATATATATATATATATATATATATATATATATATATATATATATATATATATATATAATAGATTATGTAATTCACATTTATTAATAATATGTTTAGGTGTTATTGTAAAATCTTTATTGTACTCAATTAATTATGTATTGCGTAGAATTGTATGTTATTTATGATATAGTTTATAGTTTAATTTAATAGAATATTAAAAGCCAGGATTTTATATTATTTATCTATTTTATCTTATAATATATTTATATGTTATAAATATTTAAATATATTAATATAAATATACACATAATGAAATAAATAAATAAATATATACATGCATAAATAAGTACATACATCAATTGTATGTATTAGAAGAGCAAATAAAATAATTTAGAGTAATCAGCAAGATAAGTTTAAAGAGAAATGTGAGTAAAAAATAGATAAATATTTACCAGAGACAGACTTTGTACAAAAGTCGATTGCTTGGGTACCTCTGTGCCATTCGTGTTTCAACCGTAAAGCAGTTGTGTTTGCATGGCTGTGTTTCAGTTTGAAGGATGGGATTTGGCAGCGAATTTACTGGGTACAGAGGCATAATACTAATCCTCAGGAATGGCAACGCATAGGGGGCATGGGCGAAACACTCTGTTATGTCCATGGTAATGCACATGTTAATAGGCGACGGTTACCACTTTCCATTAGATGGGCCGTCAGCTTGTTTGTCATTCTCAGTAGTATAAAAAAAAAACAATAAAAGGGAATCTAGTTTATAAATCGTCATTTTTATATATATAATTTAAATGATACTAAAGGTAATTTATACCATCAGGTCAACGTAAGACTCGGTGGTCCAGTCCTGAAAGATATGTTCGACAACTTCGAAGCAGTAGTGCAAGGTGGAGGTAGGAAGATCGTCTCGTACTTCACTCACGATACCATGCTTGAAATGACGTTCAGCGCACTGGGCTTATACAAAGACGATTTCGTTCTAGAAGGTATAAGGAGACAGCCGAACAGAAAGTGGCGGACCAGTTACATATCTTCTTTCTCTGTTAACATCATAGCTGTCTTAAACAGGTAAGGTTATTGATGACTAGTTTATGACCGCAACTTCGTCCGTTTGATCGAGTTATGATAAATAACTTATGTCCTTCTGTATCTCATATATATATATATATATATATATATATATATATATATATATATATATATATATATATATATATATATATATATATATATATATATATATATATATATATATATATATATACATATTATACATGTATATACATATATATATATATATATATATACATGTATATATATATATATATATATATATGTATAATTTAGTACACATGTACCATATTGGGTTACGACAATGCTAAAACCATACTGGCGTGTGTGTCCCGGCGTAGAATAGGCCACCGCTTCTTTTTCTATGGGTGTCGTGAGAGGCGTCTAAGGGAGGGCAAAGCCTCGAAGAAGCCTACCTGCGGTTGCCAATCCGCTTTCCAAGCGTGGCAACTACTAGCAAAACTCCCCTTATGGGCAAAGCTTATGTCCAACAGTGGACAGTTAACGGCTGAAATAATAAAAAAAAATCTAAATTATATAACTTAATCTGTTGAGGAAAACCGAAATAAAATCCGTAGCGTAGTTTAAAAGATCTAAGCGTACAGACAGATAGAAGCGACTTTATTTTATACTATGTAGAGAAGTAAGCGTAAAAAATGCAAAAAAGACAAAATGTGTTAAGTCAGAAATTGAATTTTTTTTATACCACTGAGGTGGCAAACAAGCATACGGCCCACCTGATGGTAAGTGGTTACCGTAGCCTATGAACACCTGCAATATCAGAGTTATTACGTGTGTATGTGTGTTTCAACCGTACAGCAATTGTATTTGCATGGCTGTGTTTTGGTTTGAAGGGTGGGATATGGCGTGAATTTACTGGGTACAGAGGAATAACACCTGAGTCCTCAGGAATGGCAACGCATGGGGGGTATCATGGGCGAAACGGTATACTCTGTTATGTCTATGGTACTGCTCATGTGTATAGGCGACGGTTACCACTTTCCATCAGGTGGGCCGTCAGCTTGTTTGCCATTCTAGGTTGTATAAAAAAAAAACCTCTTTGAATGGTCTAATATGATATGTGTATACCAATAATTATAATGTATTTGATTAACCAATAATGAATATTCAATTTAAAAAATTGCAGATGCCACGAATCAGACGGCCAGTCTTACCGCGTCCAGCTTTTTGTTAACGAGGACGAAACTGAACTTTGTCCCCCCGAAGGATGCACATGGGAAGAGTTCGAGAGGAAATTTGCGTCTTACACCTCGAGCTTGGACTTCTGCAGTTTAGATTATGCCAATCCAAATCTGGCATCTCTATCTAGTAACGCGAGAATAAACGGAATCGGTCCCATTGTTTTCCTAATTCAATTACTTATTGTTTGTTTATGGAGATAATTATGTGAAGTAAGCATGTTATTTAGCTTAAGACATGGAGTTAGCCATGCCTATGTTTTCATAATGGAAGTGTTTATCATATTGCACATCTTTCTATGCATGTTATACTCAAAATTCCTACAGCGACCTCCGTATCCAATATAATAACGCGTTCAGGGTGTTGATGGGGCTGCCACGATTCTGTAGCGCGTCAGGGATGTTTGCTGAGCATTGTATAAAATGTTTTTATGCCACGATGTGAAAAAGGTGTGCATCCCTGGTGCGCAGAGTACGTGCCGGCGCCAACAGCATCCTGAGTATGATAGCAAGCAGGCTGCACTGTGTGTACGTTGGTCACTGCTGCGCAATTTCCAATGGAATTGTGCAGCGGTGATTATCTGCATATTATTTAATATATTATATGTGTGTGTGTGTGTGTGTGTGTGTGTATTGTGTATATAAATTTACTAACATTAGTTTTAAGAATATTGTTACTAATAAATATTTAATGGACCAAAAAAGACCGAAATATTTTTTTTTATTATTATTATTTATTAGGTATTTTAAAAATTCTTCTTTTTGAATAAATTAATACATATAAATCATTGGAAATATTTAAGGATCGTATTCCAGATTTTATATACAAAGATAGTGAATTTATTTCAGTTAATAACGTATGCATGTTGCAGTCAATAGTCTTAACCAGTCAAAAGTACTATTGACTAGCAAAATCAGTCAAAAGTACTTTTGACCGTATGCTTTAGTCAATAATACTTTTGACTAAAATAACAGTTAAAAGTACCTACCAGAGGGAGACTTTGTACAAAAGTCGATTGCTTGGGTACCTTTTTTTTTTACAACACAGGGGGCAAACGAGCATGCGGCTCACCTGATGGTAAGTGACTACCGCCGCCCATGGTCACCCACAACACCTACGGCATTGCAGTTGTGCTGCCGGCCTTTTAAAAAGGAATATGCTCTTTTCTTGAAGGTTATGTTGTCGTATCGGTTCGGAAATACTGCTGCTGGAAGTTGATTCCAAAGAGTGGTTGTGCGTGGGAGAAAGTGTCTTGAAAAACGCACGGTGGAGGACCGCCACTTGTCCAGATGGTTGGGATGAAATTTTAGTTTATGGCGGGTTGTACGATGGTGAAAATCTGCAGCAGGTATCAATCCGAACAATTCTTCAGAGCACTCCCCATGATAAATTCGGTAGAAGATGCACAGAGATGCAACATCTCTACGCAGTTTCAGTGGGTCGAGCCGGACAGTAAGACGCCGATCGTCAACAATTCGAGCTGCCCGACTTTGAATGCGGTCTAACGGAAGGAGTTGGTACTGTGGCGCTCCTGCCCACAGGTGAGAACAGTATTCCATGTGTGGCCTCACTTGAGCTTTATATAGTTTCAGGCGGTTTTCTGGCGTGAAATACCGTCTCACCCTATTGAGCACCCCCAACTTTTTGGAAGCTATCTTAGCTTTTTCCTCCAGATGACCGCAAAACTGGACGTCGCTAGATATATTGACGCCAAGAATCCCCAGACTCGACTTATTATCGAGGGAAGTGCCCTGAAAGTGAGGAGATACGACAAACGGTGTCTTTTTTGCGGTGAACGCGCAGACTTGTGTCTTCTTACGGTTAAAGTGAACAAAATTGCGTTCACCCCAGATCGAAACTTTATCGAGTGAAGTTTCGATTTCAGACACAAGTCTGTTCCGGAGCTCATCGGTATGTGCCCGCGAGATCTTTGCATGACCGGTGTATAATGCATCTCCTGTACTGTCATCTGCATAACAATGAATATCACTGATCTGTAACATATCATTGATATGCAGAAGAAACAGTGTCGGAGATAGTACACAACCTCTGTCCCATTCGTGTTTCAACCGTAAAGCAGTTGTATTTGCATGGCTGTGTTTCGGTTTAAAGGGTGGGATATGGCGTGAATTTACTGGTTACGGAGGAATAACACCTGAGTCCTCAGGAATGGCAACGCATGGGGGGTATCATGGGCGAAACAGTATACTCTGTTATGTCCATGGTACTGCTCATGTCTATAGGCGACGGTTACCAATTTTCATCAGGTGGGCCGTCAGCTTGTTTGCCATTCTAAGTTGTATAAAAAAAAAAAAGAAAACCTAACCTAACCTAACCGCAAATTTGCAGTCAATAGAACTAATAACCGATAATTTTCAATCTAAACCACTTTTAACCAACCTGTTCAGTCAATAGTACTTTTGACTGGTTAAGAGTTTTGACTGCAACATGTATAAAGTGTAACACCTTTAATTTTAATTTTTAAGTTATAAATACTAGTGTTAAATTAACAATTAATAAATAATTTATTTTTAAATATTCTATTCTCTACTTGTATTAAAAATAAATTATAAAATTTATGAATATTTACAATTTATATGATGTAACAATTTGAACACCAGAGGGAGACTTTGTACAAAAGTCGTTTGCTTGGCCACCTCTGTCCCATTCGTGTTTCTACCGGGAAGCAGTTGTGTTTGCATAGCTGTGTTTCAGTTTGAAGGGTGGAATATGGCGTGAATTTACAGGGTATAGAGAAATAACACCTGAGTCCTCAGGAATGGCAACGCATGGGGGGTATCATGGGCGAAACAGTATACTCTGTTACGTCCATGTTACTGCTCATGTCTTTAGGCGACGGTTACCACTTTCCATTAGGTGGGCCGTCAGCTTGTTTGCCATTCTAAATTGTATAAAAAAAAACATATAAAACATTAAAAAAAACTTCTGCGTAAAATTAAATTTTTAATTCATATAAATATGGCACCAACGTGGGAGCAAATTCTATAGTTTACGAAAAGAATTATTAAAAGCAGTTCAAGATTTGCTATTACATATATTTGATTTAATAATGGATCCTGTCAGAAACAGCAAAGAGAAGAGAAATGCAGCAAGGAGGGTCCCCTCTCTCTCCTTTTATCCCTCTTTATCACTAAGTAGTTCCACAGAAATCCAAACTGCTATTAAGGAAGGGCTTCAATTTGTTTTCAAAGGATTTCCAATCGCACGTCTTGTTGTCACAGAGTTGGAACTCAATTTCGTTTATGAAGAACTGCACTCTATATTTCTGGTTAACGAGGGCTTCTGTTTCTGTACTGCATCTGATGGAATGAAATGAAAATATTGATTGTAAGCATGTGTGAATGTGAATGTGAAAAAGACTCTATTTTTCGCGCTTAGCCTCTCATTTGGGCCACTGTGCGTATGAGTCGTGGCCAGTACAGCCAACCTAGCTCCGCCCAGAAGCGCAGAAGCTTCCTGGGTTCTTCACAGGCCTCACGGAGCGACCTCAACGTTCCGAGGATTTCTAAACGTTGATAGGTCACAGCTTCACATTCCAGGATTACGCGAGCAGCCGTTTCTTCGGCGTCGAATGTAAGCATAGGTTTATATAAAGTAGTGGAGGTGAATGTGAATGTGAAAAAGACTCTATTTTCCGCGCTTAGCCTCTCATTTGGGCCACTGTGCGTATGAGTCGTGGCCAGTACAGCCAACCTAGCTCCGCCCAGAAGCGCAGAAGCTTCCTGGGTTCTTCACAGGCCTCACAGAGCGACCTCAACGTTCCGAGGATTTCTAAACGTTGATAGGCTACAGCTTTACATTCCAGGATTACGCGAGCAGCCGTTTCTTCGGCGTCGAATGTAAGCATAGGTTTATATAATGTAGTGGAGGGTGATGAAACCAGAACTATCTACTCCAGAGTCCGAGTAGTTTGAACAAAGGCACGCCTGAGATGTGGCTTTTTAAAGATACCAGGTACTTCTTGTAAATATTCCTTACTATGCCTATGATTCCAAGAAAGACAAGAAGCTATAAACCTAAACATCCGTAAAAATATAATAAGATACTGAAGCCGAAAAAGAAAATAGATCATTCATCATCATCATATCTGCCGTTAACTGTCCACTGCCGAATTCAGGCAAAAAAGGGGGGGGGGGGTTGCTTTCACGCTTGGCAGGCGGGTTGGCTGCCGCAGTTAGACTTTTAGAGATATTTTAAGAGGAACGCTGCTGCCCATCCCTCGACCATAAAATTAACGGCTGAAATGATTATGATGATAAAAGACATAATATGAAGACACAAGCATACGAGTAAATTTGGAATTTATAATACAACTAGCGATCCGCCCCGGCTTCGCACGAGTGCATAGCTGATACTAAATATACCTACCTACTACAGATTGTCCTTATAAACAACGTTTACAGCTTTTTTTTGTCATTAGACAATACAAACATGACAAAGTGCTATAGGACGAAGCGCGGCCTTCGACGCGCTATTTATAGGCACACGCTGCCGGCCGGGCCGGTACCGCCGCAATGCTTCGAAATCCGTTGCATGGTTTTAAACACTTAAGCATACATAAGGACGGACAGACAGCGACAGCAACTTTGTTTTATACTATGTAGTGATAGATGCACTTGTATAAATACAAAAAGGTGACTTATTGTTCAAAGGTGATTTTTTTTATATGGCAAACAAGCTGATAGCTCACCTGATTGGTAACTGCCGCGTATAGATATGAACAGTGGAATGTGATGTTCATAGTTTACTTTTCATTTGTTTCTAATCCTGAAGTTGATAGTGTTTTTTTTTGTGAAAATAACATAGTAACCCCGCCTGTGCTATTGGTATAGACTGGCGGGAACTAGTGAGGGATGATAGGTGAGGATGAACGATGTATGATGAATTCAACAAGAGTTCATCGTATCATCATATCAGTCTTTAACTATCCACTGCTGAACGTAAGCCTCCCGCTAGGGAGATTTTGCTAGTTGTTGCCACGCTTGACAAGCGGGCTGACAACCGCAGTTAGGCTTTGGAGATGTTTAAAGAGGGACGTTGCTGTCTATCCTTCATCTTCCTTAGTCGCCTTTTACGACACCCACGGGAAATGAAAGGTCTATTCTATGCTGGGACTACACGGAAATCTACCTAGATTCTTAGAATCACCTAATTTCCTAGAAATCATTTTTCTAGCAAATCGAGGTAAGGTTAACTTCATAGCGTATACTGCTAGCAATGAAGCCATTAGATTATCACTAATCCCTTTTCCCCCAGTTGACGGTGGTAAACCTCTGTACTCTGTAATGGCACTGCCATATTCTATCCTTCAAGCAGAAACGCAGCCACGCCAAGCCAAATAGAGCAGCGACTACTTCTTTTCAAGGCAACTTACGATAGCTTATCTACTATCAACTTACCTATTAAGAACAACGATTATATTAGCTGCAAATGGCGTGTGCAAGCTGGTCCTCCACTTCCTATCTTTTACTCTTACGGAGCCAGTTAATCGTGGATGATCTTGGAATAGTCCCAGAGCGCTATAAACCATTTCGATCAGGCTGTCGTGTGAGAAGTACGCAGTGAAACTCCTATCGTTAGTTTGAATAGTATTATTGAAACTCTGATATAAGTCTTTTAGTACCAATTCACCAAGTTTAGGATTTATTGCATTGCCGTAGCCATTTCTGGGAATAAAAGGTTATTTTACGATCTTACTAATAGGTTTAATATGAACGATAAAAATTGTATTCCGAAATGTAAAAATATGACTGTAATTGCGGCAAAACCTAAAATGTAATGAATTGAAATGATTTTTTATTTTTATATAACTTAGAATGGCAAACAAGCTGTCAGCCCACTGTGTGAACACAGTGGTAACCGTCACCTATAGACATGAGCAGTGCCATGGACAAAACAAAGTATATTGTTTCACCCATGATACTCCCCATGCGTTGCCATTCCTGAGGACTCAGGTGTTATTCCTCTGTACCCAGTAAATTCACGCCATATTCCACCCTTCAAACCGAAACACAGCCATGCAAACACAACTGCTTTACGGTTGTAACACGAATAGGACAGAGGTACCTAAGCAATTGACTTTTGTACAAAGTCTCCCACTGGTAAAATGAAATGAAATGAAATTTATTGCGATGAATGTAGTAAATTTAGATAGTATTGTACATTTTGTGTAGCCTTAACATTAAGGCAGCCTGGCATGCAACATTTTTACATGTATTATATTTATTGCCAACTATTAATTATAAGTTATATTAATACTAAAGTCACATTAATATTCAAATTTTTGAAGTAAGTTACTACAATCATACATTTACAAATATATATTGTACTAGCGGCCCGTCCCGGCTTCGCACGGGTGGACATTTTTACAACATTTTAAAAAGTGGATATTGTGACATAACGATAATAGTTGGACATATAGTATCGCGATGTTTTTTCTAGTTATTGATACTCTTTTCAATATTGTAGAACATATTTTTGTTCTATCACCAATAGTTTCCGCAGCGCACGCGACTAAAGATATTTCATAACATTTTTTTTACACCTTGAGTTACGTTACTAAAGTTTTAGTAAGGATCCCTTATATTTTCTAGCAATAAATATAGCCTATGTTACTCAGGGTGAATATAGCTTTCTAATGATGAAAGAAATTTTGTAAACGGCAAAGTAGTTTTTGAGTTTATTCATTACAAACATACGCATAAAAATACACATCTTTCCTCTTTATAATATTAGTGTAGAGTGTAGACAGTGTAGATACAACATCCTACATTTAAGATTCAATTATATTATATTATTATATCATCCATTTTACTTGCAAAATAATCTTTTAATTTATAGAAACATTATGCAATTAATCATTTACATAAAATGTCTTGAAACCTTTTCAAACACAGATCAACAAGTGAATTTGGATTTGTGTAGAATTAAATAAAAAAAAAAAGTATAAATTATCAAATAGTTGAAATATTTACCTGTAATAATGTTGTAAGTCTTTAGAGTATTCAAGCAGCGGTAATTCGTCATTCGTGAACAAGGCGCACCATGGTGACATGTTAGACTCGGAGTACCCTCGATAGAATCTACACAGGTCGTATAAACTTATTATATTGTTTATTGATAGTTCAGTAAGATTCGTGCGAGTTTTCATGTTTGTCTGTAACTGAAAAGAGATACGATTATTGAAAAATTATATCAAGAATTCCTCTAAAAACTCTAGGTCCCTGTGTTAGGTCGAAAACAGTCGATTAAGTTAAAGTCATATCTATCTATCTATTTACACGCTAAATTTCTTGTAGGTGGGGGGGAGAGGGATTGTTAGTAATGGTGATTAAGAATGCCATTGCTAGCAATATACCCAACTACGTCGACCTCCTCGCGGTTGCCTCTGGAAATTATCACGGTTAATTCCTGATGAATTCATCATGAAGGGCTAACTGGCCTGTTTTCATTCTCATCTATCACCCTTCACTGGTGCTCCGCCAGCGTATCTCGTTAGCGCAGGCGGGGTAGCGGGTATGGGGTAGGCAAAAAGAAAAAAGACCTTTATCCTTACATATCTTTTGCTTCATTCATTTTTAACTGAATTCAAAAATAAAGACGTTCTCTTTTCGGTTGTATTTTTTTTTCCAGACAAGCCTCTGTGGTTTTTGATAGGTCTGTTTGTTATTTTATTTATTTATTTGAAAATTACTCACCACGCTTACAGTCTCCCAAAACGTGTAGTGAGCCATAGGTTTATTTTACAAACTTACAAATTTTGTACAACATTTTAAAAATATATTTATTTTGTCATTAAATATATCAATATTTGGCTGCTGAGTAATCAGAGAATTGAGCAGAGAAATAGTCTGATAAGTGGGAGCAAACTGAGCAGTACAGGTGCGAACCGGCGTTTTTGCTTTTATAGCCAAAGTAAATGGTATTACATTTATTTATTGGAACTATAAAAAATTGTTATAAATTACAAAAGTAGGGTAGTGTAACGACAACAGCCACATTAGTTAATATAACTGTGTCGGGGCTGTCAACGCCCACCTCGTCAAGACAGGGAATAAATAAGAAGAAATAAAATAAATAAATTATGTTACTCCTGTACCATTAAGTAAGGTAAGGAGGGATTACAACGTGAAAGGTTCCATTCGCTGCGGACCCTGTCAGGTCGTACTCCAGAAGGTTCCTCATATTTCTTGATAAATTCATCACGATGAGTCTCTCTGATTTCATCCCAACTTATAATGCAACACCAGTGTACAGTGACAGCGCAGGCGCAGGGTTATCATTACATCATATATATATATATATATATATATATATATATATATATATATATATATATATATATATATATATATATATATATATATCATCAATCCGAGTCTTCTCTTTGCCCGTCAGATGGTGTGGGCGGGCAAGGTAGGAGCCTTGGGGCATACCCCTTTGCCCCGGCTTCAATTCCGTAGACTACCGCCTCTGGGTCACGAGGTTTTAAGCCGGGAAGATATCTTAATAAAAATTCACCAAAAATAAAACCGCCAAGTTCAGCCTAATTCAAAATAATTTAGCAATGAATTTTACATATACGCAATTTTTAAAATATATACAAAAATAAATATATTTTGTAGCTATTAATATCAAATAGCGTTCTTGTGAATGTTGCAAATTGTGTGACATTTCTAGGATTAACAATAAATTCTAAATTGACATTGAAAGAACAAATAGAAAAGGTATGTGCAAAGATTAAAAGATTCCCTTTTGCACTCTACAAATTAACCAAGATAGCCAATAAAAATACTGCTATTACAGCATATTTTTCATATGTTGAATCCATGATTAGATATGGATTGCTACTTTGGGGTAATGGCGTTGATGTTGGGAAAATTCTAGTCGCGCAAAAAAGTTGTATACGTGCTATATGTAATATTGCACCTGATGTTTCTTGTAGGCCTTATTTTAAGTCTCTAAATATATTACCTGTTCCCAGTCTGTATATACTTGAAGCAGGTATATTTGTTAAATTGAATAAGCACATGTTTACAGAAGCAAAAGAGCAAATACAAAGAAGCGCAAGATACCCTAAAAAACTAATGACCAATACAATTCCTAAAACTAGCCGTTAATTAAGAAATTCCTATATGATGTGTTTGAAAATCTTTAACAATATACCTACGGATATAAAGGAACTTCCATTAAATAAATTTAAAATTGTGTTACGTGAATGGTTACTTAGCAAAAGTTTTTACTCTGTTGACGAATTTTTCAAGAAAGAATAGATAAATATCTAATATAGTTGTCGATGCATAAATTAAATTAATCAATTCCTGTCAAAATGTGACATTTGCATGCTATTCTGTAATGGCTAAATAGGCACGAAACTTTATGTAATGTAAGACCACCGATATCTACCCTATTTAAAGCAAATAAATTTATTATTATTACAGCCGTGAAGAATTGGTTTCACAAAGTCACTTTGCATTTTACATCGCGTTGCAAAATATGCTAATATGTGTTTGCCAATATGTATAATTATCTATTTTATTGAACTAGGTGTTATTATGAGAAATTCCATATTTGGTACATCTGGGTTTTTGATTAGAATTATTTTGTTTAATTCCACTGCCATTAGTATGCGTACGATGGATAACACTCAAAGATTGACGTACGGTGACCCTGTTTACCATCAGACAGGCCGTATGCTTCTTTGCTACAGAGTTGTATAAAAAAATCTGCCATATATATATATATATATATGTATATATATGTATATATATGTATATATATATATGTATATATATGTATATATATATATATATATAATTAATTTAACCAGAAATACAAACAGTATACTCTGTTATGTCCATGGTACTACCCATGTCTATAGGCGACGGTTACCACTTTCCATCAGGTGCACCGTCAGTTTGTTTGTCATTCTACACGAGAATTTTATATATTAGATAAAAAGAATCATATACGTACGTATAGTTGCTAGAACTGGTTCTCACTTCAAGCTATTGTTAACAAGGTTAACTGGAGTAGGTAAAGCACGTGCAGGTTTGTTCGTGCAGTATAAATATAAATTGTTGAATATATAAATAAAACATTTAGTCAAATTATTTATTTTTTTCATCAATCAATCGATACATATAATAATATTGTAACTGGTCGCTATCTATACATGGAAGATGTATAAGAAAAACTATTATATAAAACCCCCTTGTTTAAATGATGGCCAAAACAATGATTTTTAGAATTTTTGTTCGCTTGTCTGTTTGTCTGTACGTTTGTGCGCGCTAATCTTAAGAAACGACTTGACCGATTTTAACACGGTTTTCACTAATGCGTTGCGCTTTACTCCATTTAATATTAAATGCTTATTTTATTTCAATCGGTTCATAAATAAAAAAAAGTTATATTAATCTAACGAATCACATATAAAATGCTATAAAATAACCGATCAGTTGAATTGGCTGAAACTTTATGAAGGTATTGGGCACGTAATTATCATTTTACTATATAATACAATATAAGAACAGATTCATGAAGAGTTCCAACGGCAATGATATACCTACGGGAACTATATAGTTAGAAGCGAACAACGCCGCAAGAAACGGCTAGTTTATTAAGTAATATACTCTTACTTGTTTGAATTCTTCGGTCTCATAGTAGCGGTTCATCTCCATCTGAGTTCGAGTCCCATCCCATACTTCTTTCAGGTATTTGGAACAATATTTATAAGGCTGAGAAAAAGGTAAATTTATTATACAGTATAAATTATAATACACTAGAACGAATTCAAAAATATTCGAAATGTCTCACTAAAATGAAACTTAATTTATTAAACAAGTTCCATGCTTGAAATTCATTTCTAACACAAAAAATTCTCATTACTTATTTATTTTACTTAAAAGTTTTCAAATATATTATTTTTGCAATATAGTTTTACAATTTTTATTACATCTTACAATATTTGTCATCAATAATTACTATAATAACTTACAATAATTGTCAACTAGATCTAGCCTGATGACAATTGGTAACAGTAAAATAACTGACGTGAACAATACCACGGATATTGTAGATAAATATTTGATACATAAAAGAAACGGTGATTGATGATCATAGTACCCTTCATTTGTTGCCATTTTTTAATGGTGTCAAGCCATAAATATGTTTTCATAACAAATAATTTTACTGCCTTATTTAAGCTCAAAATATAGTAATGCTAACATTATCACAGAAACTCTACCAGAGGGAGACTTTGTGCAAAAGCCGTTTGCTTGAACACCTCTATCCCATTCGTGTTTCTAACATGAAGTAGTTGTGTTTCCATGGCTGTGTTTCGGTTTGAAGGGTGGGATATTGCAGTGAATTTACAGGGTACAGAGGAATAAACACTTGAGTCCTCGAAATGGCAACGCGTGGAGGGTATCGTAGGCAAAACAATATACTCGGTTATGTCCACGGTACTGCTCATGCCTATAGGCGACGGTTACCACTTTCCATCAGGTGGGCCGTCAGCTTGTTTGCTATTCTAAGTTGTATAAAAAAAAAATATATCTGTGGTCTGTATGTTTATTGTTCTAATTGACCTGATACAGAGTTATTATCATATCAGACTTTAACTGTCCAACGATAAACATAAGCCTTCCACTTGGGGAGTTTTGCCAGTAGTTACCACACTTGGCAGGCGGATTGGCAACCGCAGTAAAGCTTTTTTTTTAATCTACGTTTAATTTGGGATTTTTGTATTTTAACATGTCAATCCCCTAAAATCTAAACAAGTTATCTACTATTATAATTATGACTAAACAATACTACTTACTAATTCACTTAAGCACAAAGCAATTTTGGTCATAGTAGCATGTATTATGCTCTGAACAATCCCCACATCAAATTTGTTAATATTAAAGGTTTTTAAAAAGCAGTAAGGCTTTAGAGATGTTTTAAGAGGGGCGCTGCTGCTCATCCCTCGCCCTCCTTAGTCGGTTCTTACGACACCCACCGGATAGAAAGGGTTGGCCTATTTTATGCCAGGATCCAAAGGTCTTGATACAGAATACTCACAGTTAAAATCACGTCTTTTTCTACGGGATCAGTGATGTTGAACGTAAAATTCTTGAGACCCTGTGTAAACGCTTTGGCACTCTCAATTGTTCTCTGTTGGTTTGTTGGCCTGATTTGGTAGTGTTTCACGTTTTCTAGAAGATTTGTGAATTTCTCCTTGATCCTGTTTCCGAGTTGCCTGAGCTCGTTGTATCCTTTATTTACCAGACAATCAGGTTCTGAACTCATAGTTTCATTCCATTTCCAATTGTAGAGATTACTGATATCCTGTAATGGATCAATAAAACTAGTATACATGAAACAGCGCCATCTAGTTTTCTAATTAATAAGTCCTTCTGGATAAACTGCTAACAAATCTATCGATAGAATCGTTATCGCTAGCGAGTTCACGAGACAGAATGTGTTGGCTTTTTTTAAATAAAAATGAAATGGTAACCCCGCTTACGCTGTCGGTATACAGTGTAGGGGCACCAGTGATAGATAATAGATGAGAATGCTAGTAATAATAGGAAGCTGTTAGCTGAAGGAAGAGATTATTTGTAATGCGGACTACCAATCCCATTGCTAGCAATATACCCTGTCAGGTCGACCTCCACGTGGTCCCCCCTGGAAACCATCGTGCTGAATTCTTGTATTCATCATGATGGACTAACTGACCTGCCCTTTCATTTCACCTATCACCCCTCACTGGTGCTTCGTTACTGTATACCGTTGGCACAGACGGGGTTCCCATTCCATTGTCATCCATTAAAAAAAAAGGACCTATCATTTGACACTCACTTCAGCACACATTTGTCCTCGACCTTTATAATAACAATTTAATATCTCTTCTTTTAATTTAGCAGTTTCCATCATATGACGGACATCGTAGGAGCTCGGGTTCCTGGTCCCATGCCTGGCGAGTATCCAAACGCTGGTCGGTACGCATCCTGATGATAAATAGCAAAGTTATTAACAATACCATACCATTTTATTATTATTGAAAAACAAGCAGGCATACCAGAGGCTTACCAGAGGGAGACTTTGTACAAAAGTCGATTGCTTGGCTACCTCTGTCCCATTCGTGTTTCAACCGTGAAGCAGTTGTGTTTGCATGGCTGTGTTTCGGTTTGAAGGGTGGGATATGGCGTGAATTTATAGGGTACAGAGGAATAACACCTGAGTCCTCAGGAATGGCAACGCATGGGAGGTATCATGGGCGAAACAGTATACTTTGTTATGTCCATAGTACTGCTCATGTCTATAGGCGACGGTTACCACTTTCCATCAGGTGGGCCGTCAGCTTGTTTGCCATTTTAAATTGTATAAAAAAAAGACATGCAGAAAAACCTGTGACACTGCGACTTTTCCATGATCTTTTGTATTCGCCCTTTTTTAAAGTTCGCTGCTAATTCCTATCCTATGATAGGATTTTTTACCAAACCATATAATAACATTAATTGTCAAACTATTTGTGTTGCCATTAATTCTCACGCTTGGTAGACGGGTCGGCAACCCCAGTTAGGCTTTGGTGATGGACACTGCTGCACATCCCACAACTGTATTTCTTTTTTAGGCCAGTTAGCCCATCATGATGAATTCATCAGAAATTAACAATGATAGTTTCCAGGGGGAACCGCGAGGACGTCGACCTGGTTGGGTATATTGCTAGCAATAGGATTGTCAGTCTCCATTACTAACAATCCCTTTCCCCCCTCCCCCCTCAACTGTATTAACAATATAATTGATTATTTCTGTGAATTAGTTCTAGAAGAGTATACAGAGTGATAGCGGAATCTTAACCCTTGTTTGCATGATTTATTAATCAAGATGATATATATATATATATATATATTCATGTTTTAAATTATAGGAAAAAGGGTTAAAAAATAAATTTGACAGCTATATTTTTTTTTCTGCAATGTACATTCAAAAGGTATCCAGACACGATCAACTTAAAGTGACATTGTTATTTTATATACTTTTTGGGCATTCAATGTCACCATTATGCAAAGAAGGGCTAAGCATCTTTTGAAAGCAGTATCCTGCTAACTAAATTGAATATACACTAAAACCAAACCAGCAGTTATTTCGATCTAAAAACTAAACGACGAAACTGGTTTATTTAAAATTTGTTTGGGAGTAATCTGTAAGTATATCCTTACGGTTAAATAATTTTCCAAATCAGTTTATGACTGATGGAGTTATGAGGTGAAAAATATAAAAAAAAATTCTCTTTTCGTTGTTTTATACAACTTAAAATGGCAAACAAGCTGACGGTCCACCTGATGGAAAGTGTTAACCGTCGCCTATAGACATGAGCGGTACTATGGATATAACAGAGTATACTGTTTCGCCCATAATACTCCCCATGCGTTGCCATTCCTGAGGACTCAGGTGTTATTCCTCTGTACTCAGTAAATTCACGCCATATCCCACCCTTCAAACCGAAACACAGCCATGCAAACACAACTGCTTCACGATTGAAACACGAATGAGACAGTGGTACCCAAACAATCGACTTTTGTACAAAGTCTCTCTGTTTTTAAAGTCGATTGAAAAGCAAAGTTTTTAATCGTCAACGCATCGATAAATCTAGAGATGTATCTATACATACATACACGTGTACATACATGTATAATTGGCATACAAAGATGGAGAAAAAATATAATCGCGTTATAATCTCGAATTTGACCTTGACTGACTATAAATATACGCATAATTATTCGTAGATATTGTTCCATATATATACAAAACACATTGTCAATTTAATTAATTAGGGAATGCCCGTATATATTTTTTCTAATGAATGATAGTGGCATGGTAATCTTGCCTGCGTTAACGGTATACGCTGACGGAGCACCAGTGAGGGATGATAGGTGAAGACGGTAAAGCCATTTAGCCCATTGTGACGAATTTAACGATAAATTAGTCACAATAGTTCCTAGGGGGAACCGCGTGGAGGTCGACCTGATAGGGTATATTGATAGCAATGGGGGCTAAACTCCACATTACTAACAATCCCTTCCCCCAATGCCCCTATATTATAAAATAGCGTTTTGCTCGATACTTTATACGCGAGGATTTCTAAAATAGAAAACCAAATTAATAGACTTGTAAATGGCGTGCCAAGGTCAAAGATGCAGTGTATAAATGTGTTACATTTTCATTAATGTGTTCTTATTTATTTAATATGTATTGTTGTATATTTAACATGTATATATTTTTATATATTAGTATTGTATTTTCTATTTTAAAATACTGTCAACTCACTACTTCCTATACCACAATGTTTTTTTTTGTTGGGTGAAATTGGCATGGCAACCCCACCCGCGCCAACGGGACACGCCGGCGGAGCACCAGTGAAGGGCGATAGATGAGAATGAAAACAGGCCATCATGATGTATCTCTCAACAATAAACCATGATATTTTCTCCGCAAGGAGGTTGACCTGTTTAGGTATATTGCCAACAATGGGATTCCCAGTCTCCATTACTAACAATCCCTTTTCCCCCTATACCACTATATTAGGTTGACTGGAAGTATGAAATATATATATATACTAGCTGACTCGGCAAACGTTGTTTTACCATATACATTATTTCTAAAACTATACATGAAAATTTCTCGTACTACAATTATTATATTCGATTGCCATCTTGCCTTTTTCAGAATATAAATATCGCAATTAAAAAACAGGGGTTGATCGTAAAACGGTGAAAATTTTAAGTTGTGTGTATTTTCAATGCTTAGTTATAATAAAATAAAAATAAAAAAAAAATTGTCAAAAAAAATAAAAAAGAATATTTTGGTGTTGGTCACCATTATCATTGAGAGGTATGAAAAATAGATGTTGGGCTATTCTCAGACCTACCCAATATGCACACAAAATTTCATAAAAATCGGTAAAGCCGTTTCGGAGGAGTTTGGTAACAAACACCGTGACACGAGAATTTTATATATAAGATATATATATATATATCTTATCAATAGCAATATAAGCGAGGGTAAACTTATTTCTAAAAGAGATCTCTTCCAACACACTAGACGACATTTGCACATTTGAGAGATAGTTGAGAAAAAATTATGTAATCGCTCTTAACAAGAGCGATCGATGCTAAATTAATAATTTTTAAAATATCGAGCCTTACGACATCATTTGACAACGACTCTTTAGTCTTATGATACCTTAAAGTATACATGCAAAATAAATTAACTTCATTTCATTTCATTTCATTTCATTTCATTTCATTTCATGTATGCATGTTTTCTTTTGTCATCAATGTATGACGAGAAAAAAAAAAGATGACGCGAGTGCTCGTGGCTATATAGGTGAACCGTCAATCGTCGGCGGGGAAGGATTGCTAATTTTTTTTTACAACACAGGGGGCAAACGAGCATGCAGCTCACCTGATGGTAAGTGACTACCGCCGCCCATGATCGCCCACAACACCAACGGCATTGCTAGTGTGCTGCCGGATTTTTAAAAAGGAATATGCCCTTTTAATTATAAGGACTACTGGTTCCATTGCTTCTAATTGCCGGCCAGGGCAATTGCCCGGTTCGCTGACTATAGGTATACGAGATTTTATAAGATTTCGCGCGAACCTATCACCCCATTTATATTCCACGTCTAAAATTCTTGTCTTTAAAATTATCTGAATTTATATTTTAATGTAAAATAACGGGAAGTGAACTACTTACCTTTCAAATCCGTAATGTCTCTAATATCACCTCGTACATCGTCGTAAAGGGTTTTCCCGCCAAAAAGCACGTAAGGACAAGAATTCCAATAACATTCTTTACAGAATGCAATGTGAAGAAATAAATTTGTTATAATTAAACGAGCCAGCATATTCGGTACGCTGTTACCGTTGAACTGAATGGTAACGTAACATTCGGCAATGTTTGCCTTGTACTGATTGATTAAAACTAATTGCTTACACGGGTTTGCTCGCGAACGCGTTATTTCTAGCTCCTTTGAGAGTAACATTTGTACGTACGAAGCGCTTTGCGTCTTCCCTCCTCATGCGTAGGGCCAAGGAGTGGAACTCTCTCCCTGCTCGTTTCTCCTATCACATATAATCTAGGCCAATAGGCTATTTATTTATTTATTCATTAGTACAAATATGTGTACATTAATGATTTAACATTAATGACTTAATGTTAAAAGCATTCTCTCCCAGTCAACCATAGGGAAGTGTCAGAATACTCGAATGCGGTACTACTAATTATTGATATACATACATACTAAAATTACATATATAAATGAATAAATATATATAAATAACAAATATACTTACACATATATGACATATACTATATTATACACGAAATTGAAAATAATATAAAGTACTTATACTGCTCGGATAAAGTAAAAAAGCCAGCGTGAACGTTTTTTTTTGAAAGACGGTTTAGTCGGTACTCTCTTAATAGCATGAGGAAGTGCGTTCCAGAGTCGTGAAGAATGTAGGAGAAAAGAGTTTGAAGCGAAACCAGTACGGTGAGAGGGAATACATAGTTGGAGAGTATTACTGGAACGAAGGTTACGATCGTGAGTTTCAAAAAGTTACTGGAATTAGCTGCTTAAGTATTCACGGGCCCGCAAGGTCTTTTCTTTGTGAAAATTTCTCAGTTTCACTTTGCTTTATAGATATTATTAATTCTGATTTCATATTCATATATATTAACGTTTTGTGATCTGGCTTAGAATGAGCCATCGCTTCCTTTTTTTTGATGGGTGAAAATGGTCTGGTAACTGCGCCTGCGCTAACGGGATACGCTGGCGGAGCACCAGTGAAGGGCGATAGATGAGAATGAAAACAGGCCAGTTAGCCCATCATGATGAATTCATCAGGAATTAACCATGATAGTTTCCAGGGAGAACAGCGAGGAGGTCGACCTGGTTGGGTATATTGCTAGCAATGGGATTCTCAGTCTCCATTACTAACAATCCCTTTCCCCCATCGCTTCCTTTCTTGTGGGTGTCGTAAGAGGCGACTAACGGAATGACTGGAGGATGGGCAGCAGCGTCCTTCTTAAAACATTGTCAAGAGCTTATCTGTAGTTGCCAACCCGCCTGACAAGCGTGGAACCCTCTCCCCCTTGGGGAGGCCTGATGGCATAATAGTATATATTTTAAAACTACTTTTGAAGTAAAAAATTGTTATTTAAGTTACTTAAAATGAGTATAGTACTAAATATATAGTATAATACTAGACTCTTACGTTTTACCAGAGGGAGACTTTGTACAAAAGTCGATTGCTTGGGTACCTATGTCTTATTCGTGTTTCAACCGTGAAGCAGTTGTGTTTGCATGGCTGTGTTTCGGTTTGAAGGGTGGGATATGGCGTGAATTTACAGGGTACAGAGGAGTAACACCTGAGTCTTCAGGAATGACAACGCATGGGGGGTATCATGGGCGAAACAGTATACTCTGTTATGTCCATGGTACTGCTCATGTCTATAGGTGACGGTTACCACTTTTCATCAGGTAGACCGTCAGTTTGTTTGCCATTCTAAGTTGTATAAAAAAAAACTATCATTGGTCCTAAATTAGGTTTAACTAGAAATGAAAAACAAGAGATTTTGCAAAAAGTTTGACAAGCACTGCTCAAGCAATGTATTAAAATGTAATATTCCAAAGATACATTATTCTCTACAATTACATTAACTGTATTCATAATAAATACAATAATTATATATTTGTTTTAAATTATTAAGTTTCCTGGGAAAATTATAAATAAATGCAAATTTTAACCTATTAATGCATTTTTATATTTTTTTCTACGTTTTTATATTTCCATTTAAAAACAACTATTTTTGGGGTAATAATTAAAGGTGATATGAAATAAAACCCATCAATATTTTAGTATTTTATGACAACGATATCGCTTTATTAGATGTCAAAGGAGCAGCGCGAGGGTGGGGCGCGCGGGCGCCGGTGAGGGGGGTGGGGGGCGTGTCTCTGCGGAGCTAGCGGCCGCCGCGCGCCACACTCTCGCGCACTCGCATACGCTCGATACATACAGTATTTCACGGTAATAAATAATATAAATAAATATCAACAAGTTATAAAATAGCCTTTCGTAAAAAGATTAGATCACTAGTGTATATTTTTTTGTTGTTTTAAAAAAAAATGATTTTTACAGTTTCTCGTTTCACGCTTTCGTAACACATTCAACTGGTATAAAAAACTAGGTTACAATAATATCAACGAAAAATCTGTACAGTCCGTTTTTATTTGTGGAACGTTTAGAAATCGTTTTCGGGCGCCAGGTCGAACCTAGGTGGGAAGGTGCCGAAGGCGTCAGCGAGCGCGGGGCGCGAGCGCTGGGGCTGCAACACAAAAACAAACGTTGTAACATCTGTTGCTGTAACAAGTTAAGGCCCCTTTACATGGGCAATTCAGAATACACAATATTTCTGATTGGACCGGCCAAGACAAGGTAAGCTACTCTCCTTAGAGCGTATTATCCTGTCATTGATATTGGAGGGTAATTAACAGTAACCAACCCCTATATTATTGGTTTCAATGTCTGTTCAGAACACTTAATTTTTTTTAAATTTGACCGTTAATATAACCAATATGACATGTTACTCGTAACATTAAACTGTTATTACTATGATGTTACATTTGATGAGGTTATGTATGATATACATACTATATTTAAACTGTGGCTAGACATGATGCCATACAAATATTGATCGATATGGAAAAATTGTATAATCCATTACATATGTTAATTACTTTCGGTCCGTTGATGTATAAAAATTGCCCATGTAAGAGCCCCTTTATTCGATCACATGCAGGACACGTGCTTGGTATAGAATGCAAGATGGAGGAACTAATGTCTATATTGGACTCGATACAAAGATGCACTGTTCTATGTGCCGTGGGGGACGTGCAACGAAGAGTTGCCAACTTACATAATACTCCAGTGCTGACTTATGGACGCCCTTTAATGGACGCCTGAACGGAAGAAATACGAATACTTTAATAAGTAACAGAGAAGATATAGAATTTATAATGTAAACAAATACTATTTAACTCACCGCCGGACTGACTCCTCTCGCTGCGGATCCCGCGCGTCCCTTGCCACGGAATTTGCTGATAGCTTGTTCGGCCAGGTCTGCCCTCTCTTCCGCCTCTTCCAACTCCTGTTGCGCCTTGCGGAACTTAGCCAAGTTGAGAGCGGCGATCTCTTCTGCCTCCTCGATCTGCCTCTTGTAGGTCTTGATCTTCTGTTGGAGTTTGTCGACAAGGTCCTGCATGCGTTCGTGGTTCTTGCGGTCTTCCTCGGCCTGGAAGGTCAATTCCTTGATACGCCTCTCGGCCTTACGCAGGTTCTTTTGGGCGTCGGCGTGTCTCCTTTGTTCGCCATCAAGCTCATTCTCGAGCTCCCTAACTCTCTGTTCGAGTTTCTGGATAGCCTTCTTTCCTCCTTTAAGGGCATTAGCTTCGGCCTCATCCAGTCTGACCTGCAATTCCTTGATTTGTTGTTCAAGGGCCTTGCGCAGTTTCTCCTGGGTCTGAGCATGTTCCTGTTCAGCACGGAGCTCGTCGGCAAGACGGGCGGCATCGACCATGGCCTTCTTGGCCTTCTCCTCGCTGTTCTTGGTCTCGTTGAGAAGCTCATCCAGGTCAGAATGTAAGGTCTGTAATTCAGACTCAAGTTTCCTCTTCGCGGCAGAAAGGGAAGCGTTTTGGGCGGATAATTCATTAAGTTGTTCATGAGCATCGCCGAGTTCCTGTTCAGCTTGGCGGCGGGCACGGTCGGCCTGTTCCAGAAGTGTACGCGACTCTTCGAGCTCATTCTGGAGGGCATTAGCACGGCGTTCCGAGATGCCGAGTTGTTCACGGGCATCGTCACGGGCACGTTGTTCTTCTTCGAGAGCGGTCTGCAAGTCCTTGATTTGGCCTTGATAACGCTTGATGTTCTTCTGGGCCTCGGCGTTAGCCTTGTTAGCATGGTCAAGAGCAATTTCGAGCTCATTGATGTCGGCCTCAAGCTTCTTCTTCATGCGTAGGGCCTCAGCCTTGCCCTTAGCCTCGGCTTCGAGGGAAGCCTGCATGGAGTCGAGGGCTCGCTGGTGGTTCTTGCGTGTGTTCTCGAATTCCTCCTCCTTCTCCTGAATACGCCTGTCGATCTCCTGTCTGACCTGAGACAGTTCGAGCTGTGCACGCAGGACCTTGTTTTCTTCTTGTTCGAGGGCAGCTTCGGCCTCTTCAAGAGCGGCCTGAAGCTCGTCTTTTTCAGCTTCAAGGCGCTTCCTAGCCTTCTCGATTTCATGGATGTTGCGGCCACCTTCACCGATCTGGTCAAGGAGATCCTTGACTTCATCAGCAAGGTTCTTGTTCTCACGGCGGACGGCCTCGAGTTGTTCCTGGCCTTCCTCATAGGCGCCCTTAAGGCGGAACAATTCAGTGGAATAGTTGCGGCATTCCTTCTGGCTGGCGTCAAGCTCGGCGGCGAGATCGTCAACCTTGAGTTTCCATTCTCCAATGATCTTGTCGAATGCCTTTTGTTTCTTCTCGGCAGCGTTGGCAATAGCGGTGGCACGGTCAACCTCGAGTTGCAGATCCTCGACCTCGGTGGCGAGGCGCTGCTTGGTCTTTTCGAGGGCGACAACCTTCTGGTTGAGGGACTCAATGGTCTCCTCGGCTTCGGCGAGGCGAGCCTGGAGCTTGCGCTTGGCTTCCTCGAGTTCCTCCGAGCGAGCAACACCTTCGGACTCGTACTTGGAGCGCCACAGTTGAGATTCGGCGTTGGCCTTGGACAATTGGCGTTGTAAGTCAGCCTTGCCTTCGGCCTCCTCCTCGACCTGTTCGCGGATGTTGTCCAAGTCGTGCTCCAGGTTGCGGAACTTGCCAAGAAGAGTAGCGCGTTCCTGTAAATAAAAAAAAAAGAAATAAGCTAATTCGGTATAAATAAATTTACTAAACTTTATAACTGATCTCAAAAATTTTTATGCCCTTTTTAAAAGAAAGATATTTTATATCAATATTAACAAAATCGAACACAAATTTGTTTTACAAAACAAAACCTTTGATAATAATACCGTCATCTAAAAAATTCGTATATTATATGTAAATTAAATTTCATTTTTTATGATACTAACCCTGGCTTCCTCGTCGGCGAGCCTCTTGGTGTCCTCCAATTGTGTGGTGAGCGACACCTTGATCTTGGAAAGCTGGGACACCTGGGACTCGGCCTCCTCCAATTGGCGGAGAAGGTCAGAGTTCTCGATGGACAGCTTCTTCTTGGCGGCATCCAGGTCATTGAGGGTGCGGTTGGCCTCATCAGACCTGCTCTGGACTTCATTGAGTTGGTGTTGCAATTGCTTGACAATCTTCTCCTGGGCAGCCTATTTCAAAAACGTTTTATTAGCATTTCATACTCAAAAGTTAATAGCAATTAACTTTTGTTGCAATTATTATTAAACTATGTTATAATAATAACAATAATCAAATCTGGATAAAGAATTGAATTATTGTTAAATACACACAATTTCTTTTTATTAGATGACTAAATGTTAATTTGCTTATGCGATTTCCCTATTTTTCTTTTCAGCATGCGTTAGTCGATTTCTTACCTCTTCTAAACTATAGCTATAAATTGTTATTAAACACACATTTATGGTAACAAAAAATATTTTATCTTTCATGCTATTCGAATAAAATTTTTAAATTGTTTAGTAAAAATAATTTGAATAATATGATGAGTTATGTATTTGATTTTGAATGTTGTGTTTTTATTTATATCGTCCACTATTTGCGAAAGCGAAGCTATATGTCCTGCCATAATATTGCTGATGCCAACACTTATTTTTTATCCATTTGTACCTTTTCGTTGGACAAGTGGTCGAGACCGGCACGAAGGTCATTGACTTCGCTAAAGTATTGAGAGCGCTCTTTCTCAGCCCTGAATAGATAGAATATCACAAGAACAATTTAATAAACCACCAAAACCGGTATCAACCGAGGGATCATTGTCGCTCTGCTGATGATCAAGGGGGTGATTATTTGGAGGACCACAATTCTGTCACTATGTTGTATACAGGTTTGTGTTTATGTGTTTGTCCGGATAGTAAAAAATTTAGATTCCATGCAGGATTCACCCCAGGCGGTACACATGCCTCTAAGGTGACATGTTACCTTCTCCCTTGCGACTTGATCGATAGCCGCGCGCGTGTTGTTAAGCTCGTTGTAGCAAGACGCACGATCATGCTCAGCCCTGAATTACATTTAAGTTCAATAAACAATTTCAATACAATATCTTTTGATTAACGTAGTTACAAATAATACCGTTCATACTGTAAAATCGATTCCGAAGTTTTGTATACATAATATTTTCAATTAAGTAAAAAGTTTATGAAATATACGTACTTGGCCTTGAGTTTGTTGAGCTGGTCGAGTTGCTCACCCATCTCGGAGACAGCATCGTTGTGCTTCTTGCGGAGATTGGCAAGAGTGGACTCGTGTTGGATGTTGGCCTCCTCGAGGTCGCGGCGGAGTTTGCTGAGCTCAGCCTCGCGCTTCTTGTTGAGCTCGATCTGAGCGGAGGTGGCGCCACCAGCCTCTTCAAGGCGCTCACCAAGCTCCTCGAGTTCGCGAGCGAGGTCAGCACGCTGCTTCTCAGCCTTAGCGCGCGCTTGACGTTCGGATTCGACTTCCTCCTCGAGCTCCTCAATGCGGGACTGGAGCTCCTTGATCTGTTTCTGGAGCTTGGCAACCAAGGACTGCTCATCTTCCAACTTGGCGTTCAAAGAGGCGATTTCCTTGTCCTTGCGCTGGATGGTCTGTTCCAGTTCCTTCTTGTTGCGTTCCAGATCGGCAACAGCCTCCTGGGTCAGCTTCAAGTCACCCTCAGCCTTCCTCCTTTGCTTCTCAACATCACCACGGAGTTTCTTCTCGCGCTCCAAAGAGTCCTCCAACTCATCAAGGGTCTGCTCCAGCTTAGCCTTAACCTTGTTCAGGTGGTTGACTTTGTCTTCGGAGGCCTGGAGATCTTCGGCGGTCTTCTGGTTGACCTCCTGCATGTGTTTCTTCTCCTTGTTGAGCTTGTTGATGAGCTCATCCTGGTGGGCGATCTCATCGTTCAAGTTGCGGATCTGGTGGTCCTTGGTGGCCTTGTCTTGCTCGGTCTTTTGGAGGGCCAATTCCAGGTCTTCAATGTCCTTCTTCAGACCAGATACTTCTTGTTCCAGCTTCTTCTTAGCTTGGAAGAGCTGGTTGCGAGCATCCTCTTCCTGGGTAAGGCGGTCTTGGGTGTCCTGTAAGAAAGTAAAGTATTTTATTAACAATTTACTTAGTTAAAATTATAATTAAGTAAATATAGAGTTACACGCTCTAGTTTTACACGAGTGAATAATGTTAAGATGAAACACGACTTTCGCTTTAGTTACCAGCAATTTCTATGTTGAACGTGTATGTACTTGTGTAATCAGAGCCTGTACTGTGACTACTAGACAACCGATAAGTATTTAGTATCTATAAGTTTGCTTCTTATCAATCGTCACCTAATATCAATTAATGGTTTGCAATAAAACCGTGCAACTAGCGGACGCGCAATATATTTTTAACTCAAACTGTACCAAACACGTAAACAAATCTGTGTTTATTTAGAGAAACAAGTCGATTTACAGTTACAGTGAAGTCATTTGCAACACTGTATCTTGTATTTACTTCCTTTTATTTAAAACTAACTCAATGTAAACAAAATTATTTATAATAAAAATAAATGCCTCATAATTACACCAATTTCCTGATTTACCCAGTTACGAAAAACTAAATGACTAATATCTGGCAGCACCACCCAGAACACCTACACTTGAGTCAATTTATAAAAGTTTTTTCTTAAGTCGTTTCACCCGAGAATTAAACCCGAGATCTCAGTTGCAGAAATTAATGTACTACGCCCCTAGGAGTGTCAAATACTGTCATTAATAATACCAAATTACTTTTCTTATTTTTAGCGATGATTTTATTTAGTTCAATAATAAAAAACAAGCTGGTAAATTATATATATTACATACAGTTTTTAGAACTAAAATAATTTTTCATATTATTATATATGTATTGATGTTAAATTGAATCATCATCATTATATCAGCCGTTAACTGCCGTCTACTGCTGAACATAGACCTCCCCCATAAGGGGAGTTTGGTCAAAAGTTGCCAAGCTTAGCAGGCGAGTTGGCGACCGTAGCTCGACTTTGGTGATGTTTTAAGAGGAACACTGCTACTCATTCCTCAACCAATTTTAATTAAAAAAAAAATACTAATTCTTTTAATCACTGCATACAATTAGGACACTTTCTCAATTCTCAAAAGCAATATTAATATCAAAAAGTGCTTTCTAGAATCCAAAACATTTTAAGAAACTTTATTTTCCTAAATAATTATTAAGCTAATCGATCGAGCGATAGGATGTCATTTACGCGTATCTGTCACTATGTTAATGATGCTGTCACTGATGGTTTAATTAGTGTTTACAAAGTGGAGTAATAATTAATTGCATGATCATAAGTACTCACCCTAAGTTGAGATTCGATATCAGACTTCTGCGCCTGGAGTTTAGCGGCACGCTCCTGGATCTCAGATAGAGAGCCCTTCTCTCCCTCAAGGCTGGACAGCAGGTTGGTCTTCTCCTCAAGGAGCTTGGCGTTAAGGGCCTCGAGCTCCTTGCGGAGTTTCTCTTCCTTCTCGAAGTCTTCCTGTGCTTTTTGTGCCTTCTCCTCCAATTTCTGCAAAACATCACCACTTTTATTCATTGTCCCATCCCATTCAGTCACATGTAATACTTCCGTCATCGTAGCCATCCTAATTATTATAATTTATATTAAATCATTAATCAAATCACTGAGGAATACAAAAGGTTCGGTTCGTTCGTAAGTGCAGGAAGGGTGCGCGCGACGCCGACCGATCCACTACTGAGCACCGCTGGAGTTTTCCAGCGGCGGGACGATCGCCCCCGCATTAATATTGTGCAAGGAAAAAGCGCGCGGGTAGCGGCTGAAGAGGGGAGGAATCCAGAAATGGCAGCGGCAGGTGCTGCGGTGTCACGTAACGGGCAGGTGGGTGCGGTCGATCTATTTGCGTTCAAATGAATCACGCGTACTATATTAAAGTATATGGGCCATAGCGGTTAATCATATTAATCAGGTACGCAGCGATGAGAGACACTTACCGCGATCTCATCCTCGACACGGGTGACGTTGAGCAGAGGCTTGACCTTCTGCCACATTTTCCACCATGGCCAGGTGCGGAGCTGCAGGTATTTGCGCAAGTTGCGTTGTACAACTTGGAGAGCGAGCCTAAACAAAATATTTTAATTTGAAACTAGAATTTGTCCGCAATTTCGTACGTGTGGATTTCTGAAGTTAGTAAGTAGGTAGATGGCTACTTTTAAATTAAATATCACAATAAAATATACACCATATTTTAAATTAAACATTCAGCAACTGTTGAAATTTATTTTGATCAAGTAGTTTTTTGTGTGATACCGGAACAAATATGTAGACAGACAGAAAGATAGACGAAAATAATAAAAAAAAAATAGAATTCTATTAAACTTATTACGAAAATTTTTCTTTAATATCTCCTATATCAGACATAATCCAGTTATATTATTATATAAATGAAAGCTATTAAATCCAAGAGCATCTGTCCATATATTGAAATTAAAGTCTATTGCTTACCTCTGTTCCTGTAGCTTCTTGTACTCCTTACGGGACAAGTAACCACGGATGTAGGCTTGGAGCCATGAGACGATTTTGGACAACCTGTCGTCACGCAACTCTTCCATCTGACCCAGGACACCAGCGCGGAAGAATACCTGCTCGTACGTATTAAGTGTTAAGAGACAGCTACGTTATTGTAGCAAGTATAAATTAATATTAATGTTACATATATATTTATAAATATTCTTAATAAATTTGTAAATAGAAATGTAAATATATATTCTTCTAAGAAAAATATACAGTTAAGATATATGTATATATAATAAGGACGAACACAAATTTTCATTACGATAACATAAAAGTTAGTGGATCAGGACATTGTAAAAGAATTAAGCATTAATTGTAATTGAGAAGAAAAAATGCAGCTTAGATGTAGTAAAGCCAGGAAATGACATGCTAACACCGACATATAGCGATTAGTAATGTGATGTGTGGCATGCTGTTGCTACCTTGGTCTTTCCAAGCCTGAAAGACTCCGAATCCAAGCCGGTTTGTTCGAGAATTTTCTCTGTGGCTTTCTCTGGTGTTATTGGCTCTTTGATCAGGTTCGGGCACAGAATTTTGTATCTGCGTTAGGGAGCACACAAAATAAAATACTACTACTGATTATTGGGTGTGTAGGGTGGTGAGGACAGCTGAAATACAAACGAGAGCCAGAGTATCTTGGGCTCTGACAATAAGCAGCTTTGAGTGTATACTTCTGCCAAATTACGGCACCAGTCAAAAGGTGGTATTGTAACTTGACAAAGCATTGAAGCTTCGCAATTCGCCTGTGGGTATCACACGGCTAACTACAGAAACGGGTTCAAGACATGCCTTGGTGTGACCGAGACGGTAGGACTCGACATCCAAACCAGTGGCCTCCAGGATGACTTGGGCGATTTTCTTAGGATCAGTTTCCTTGTCCACAGCTTGAGGGGCCAGGATCTTGTAGCTACATTATCAAATATTGGCACACAATGAAGGAAAGTCAATGAAGTCGAATCGTTCATCTAATCCGAATGTCACAAGGAAGAAAGGATTCGAATACTTAAGAAATTTCTAACGCATGATTAGGTATCTAATTATGTAAACACGGTTATTCTAATACTACGCGTGAGTTAGAACTTTCTTAATTATCATATTTATAAAACTCGTACATACTTTTTGTATGTCATGGACAAGTTTTATTCTATAGGTGCAAACCAAAATAATAACTACTACTCAGAAGAGAAACCTAGAAACAATGAGCATACAGGTATCACTACTTATTGGTAGGGTATAATAAACCAACTCTATTCTTTAGAGTTTACGTGAGTCTTCGGGGAATAAAGAGTTCATGCTAACGCCATTCGGTAATGGTATCTATTTTTAAAATCCTTGCCTTAGTATGACCGATACGATAGCTTTCAGGGTCAAGATTAACCGATTCCAAACACTTCCTAGCTGCTTCTTTGGGATCTTTTTCAGCAGTCATGATGGCTGGTGCAAGAATCATGTAACTGTTCATTAAATAATGCTGTTGATTATTCATATCTTAGATAAATTTGAAATTATAAAATTTAAACAAACCGATACTAAGAAAGAAATATCATAGTCTAAACATAATAAACACTCAACATTTTAAAGTATAAATCAGAATTGAATCACACTCATCAAAATAATTTTAGAAAGTGTTACTCATAGTAATGCATGACTGGAAGGCTATTTGACGTCAAAAGAGTCAGCTGCAATACCAGAAATAAAATCGTTCCACATATTTCCAGTGTTAAAATAAATTTGTTTAGACTCAGCAACTGAATTTATAGTGGTTTTAAAACAAATTTTTATCTCTTGATTTAATAACATAATAAATAATATCATTTGATAATGTTTCAAATATATTTGTCGAATTAATGCAAAAATAGTTTGTGGGCTGAAAATTTTTCATGAGCTTTAGAGTCTTACCGATGCTTGAAGTCAGGGTAGACCATTCGGTTGGGGAAACCTTTACGGCAAATACGGATACCTTCAAGTACACCGTTACAAGTCAGCTGGTGCATAACCAAGTGGGAGTCAATGAGACCTAATGGACAAAGTTGATTATCAACACCGAATCATATTTACAACATAAACCTAAACAAGAAAATAGAAATGTTTTATACTATACTTTAACTGACGGAAAGGATATTGTTATAGATATTTTTCTTTAAATTCTGCATGAACAACCATAATTAAAAAGGCCGTCATGAGACGATCATTGAAATGTGACTATTTTTTAATAATATTCAGATCATTTTTTCTTTGGTAATAATTTTAAAATAGGTTAACTTTATACATACGTGTACAAGAGTATTAAAATGTTTGTAAAGAATATCAGAAAAAGATGTTTCAGTTGTAGATGTCTAAATGAGAGAAAAATCTAAATTAACATACATTTTTCGTATAAAGAAAATAGATTTCATAAATGACTTCCCAAAAGTAAATGAAGGTTTGAAAATTTACATAAGTGTATAGCTGTTGGAAATTTAACAATTCATATTCGAACTTCAAATTAAGTGATGCAAGTTTTGGGAGCTTTGGAAAGTAGTTCTTTAAGATCTGTACAAGACAATGTTTTGTTTCTAACTTACCAGGCTGTTTCAACTCGTTGGGGATGATACAACGCACGAAGTGAGGCTGAGTGGACCTCAGCGTTGTCATCAGGTTGTTAAGTTGTTCCTGTAGTGTTTAAAAATGTAAGTAACAATCTAGCTATAACGGCTCGCATTTGCAAACGAAATAAAGCGTTACATAAAAAAATATTCTTATTTGCTCAAAAGAAACAATATCCTTATAATTTCACAATAAAGTGAAATAATATACAAATTTGTGATTACAGAAATTCACACACATTATAATGAATGATAATGATATGTCATTGAAGTATAGACATAATAAATTAAATAATGAGACAATTAATCATGATACCTAATAATATATTAATAACACAGGTTACACATAGAAACACACGAACAAACATAAGCTTAGTATTACCAGCTGTGCTACAGTAATTGGTCTCACTAGAACATTCTTACTGAAATTGCATGCATTTGAAAAAAATAATTCCAGTAAGTGGGTATATTCTGTTCTTCTGGACTACAAACGCAGCTGTGCGATAAATCATATTGCCACACTTAGTGATCAGTGCGCGCAAATGTCTGTGGTGGTGCATTATATTACATTATTAAAATCCATATTAATCACAATTGAGTATTGTTGTGATTACCTTAAAACATCTACGATACTCAAAATATGATGTCCAACTACACTCAACATTAAAATCGGTGTATAGCTACATCCAGGTAGGATTATACATCGATTAGATGATAAACAAAAGAAAAACAACTCGTTTACGTAAATTAAATAACCTTGTAAGCTGAGGAGACAGTAGCGAAACCACCACCCTTCTTACCGCGACCGCCTATGAATATACATGTATAAGCATTGATTAGTTCGTGGACGATTGCAACATTATCATTGAGGTACCAACTGTACTACTAGAAATAACCAGGGAGCGTAACGCCGACATGAGCTGTGCTGCAAACACACTGACACGGACGGACACGAAGGTAAAAGCAGTTGAAGTTGCAACAGTGATATAGATGATAAAAGTAAAAATGATAGTAACACCATTCATATAGAAGTATTGGTGACAGTTGAAAGCGTTTGACAGACGAAGAAAGCGACGAGATGGTCACAGAAGCAAAGTAAGGGCATGGTCAACATGTTTACCCTGTAGAGCGATGATACGGTCTGGAAGGCAGAACCCTTGGCACGTTTGCCACCAGCGCCTATTTTATTCAAAACAGTAAGTCAGAATGATCGCAGTTAGATACACAGTTTCCATTACCATTTAGTATGGTGTTATGATATTTTTTGTTTATGGACCAAGAACATTGAAGTATAGCTTGAACTTGGTTTTGGTTCCACGATGAAATTTCTATGATGCAACATAATAGTATGTCGTGAATTGTGCAACGTACCATCCGTATACGGTGCTCTAGTTTTGCTCTAGTATGTTCACAGATGTAATCAGCTCATACCTGTACGCTCAGCTTCGCCCTATCTAATATAGCTAGTAAACTCATTATTATATTTATAAATGGAAGAATAATGAAGTCTTAAGTACTAAGTCAAAAAGAAATGATACGTACCCTTGCCACCGCCACCACCGCCAGCATCACCAGATTGGCCGGGATGGTCAGCAAAGATCTCAACCAACAGTTTGTTCTGACCCTTCTTGAATTGATCTACGACAGTGTCGTTGAGGGGATCCTTGTTCTTTTCAAGCCAGCCAGTGATGTTGTAGCCGACCTATTTCACAAATATGTTAATTAACTATTAAATCAGGAAAAATAAACAAATGGTCGTGAGTTCAAATCTAATGTGCAAAATTTGTGTTCATTAGAATTTCCGTCATGGCTCTTGAACGTTAGACATAGTCAACACAGTTGAACCTATTAAAGTTTACCACGAGATAGTAGGTTATTTCCATATATAGTTTGTTTTTTTTAAGTGGAATGAAAATATAACTAATGGTCGATCTGATGCAAACTAGTAAACGACGCTTATAAACAAGAACAGCACTATAGACATAATACACTGTATATGTCACAGTTCCTATAGTGTAATATTCTTTCTTATGTTTTTATTCGAATATGAATGTTGATAATGAATGTTGAAATCTCAAAAGGTAAGGTAAGGCTTTTAGATACTTACATTACCGGCGTAGTGGCCAATGGCGAAGTGAGCCTCCTGGCAACCGGGCTTGGGGGGCTTGGGCTTGACGAAGCAAGCAGATTTGCCCAAGTGGTTGTTGTTCAACTTGTCGGCGAAGGTCTTATCGGTGGCTTTGGGGAACATAGACTCTTCCTCCAAGATGGACAAGACACCCATGGGCTGAAATTGAACCGGAATGATTAGAACACGAAGCGATTATAATGTCCTGGAAGGAATACTGTCCTTTTGTTGGCTGAACATGAGTAAGTACTATTTTAAATCAAATTTTCTGATTAAATATTACACCAAAAAATGTACAGTAATATATATATAAAAAAAATTAAAAAACAGAACTAAAAATAAAGAAGATAATGTTCTGTCTCTTTTTGTGAATTAACCAAGAAGTGCAAAACTATATTTTATAATATATTTTCTATATTAAAAAACATAGTCTGTATTAAACACGTGTATTTTAATTGTTAAGCGTTATGATTGAAGCAGCATGCAAATTGTTTATTTGTATGTGTTTGTGTTGTAGCATAAGTATAATGTAATAAGTAATTGGCTTTGTAATATTAGGAAGCCCATAGCTTACTTTGTAGCTGCGATTTTAACCTATGCGAAAACTATATTTATCAAGATATATATATTTTTCGTGCTTACAATAAATATTTATAGTAAATAAATAATTTTATTAAGAATATATAGCTTAAGCAAAATGGTGATGGTTGACAGTTGATCTTACATTTGTAAAATTAAACTACGTTTCTGTAACATTGTGCAGTCCTACGAGAGCAGTGTATTATTGTTCTATTAAATTACGCGTCAGCTTAAGGAATCTCATAACGTACAAGAGGATATGCAAATAGCTTAGTTTCTCTAAACGAACGATTGCGTGTGAAAGCGATTTTATCCTTTACTACGCAATTACTGGGAGCGGGGAGTATGCAGCCAGTAATCATTACTTTTGCATTTGCAGGCGATGCCTTTGCAGCCTGAAGCTTCTTCTATCGCGACCCTAAACTTCAAGCTTTGTATGATATACCTTTTCTATTAAATTTATTGTCGCTTGAAGATCCATACCAAAGTCTATAAAGGTCCACTGAATCCCTTCCCTTTCATATTCCTCTTGTTCTAGTACGAACATGAAATGGTTAAAGTACTGTTGCAATTTTTCATTGGTAAAGTTAACACAGAGCTGATTAAACCCGTTCACCTGGACCGTTGAAACATGTAAAATAATCGTATATGATTATTAATAACTGTCGTGGATAACTGTTTGATGTGGATGTTGGTGTCTTTATGTGAGATAGTAACAAACAGAGACACACAATTGGAATTACAAAATCACAACGAGCAGATAGCATTGATAGAGTGATTCGAGTAAAGTCAGTCAAGGTGTTCAGTTGTTATACATTTCTGAACATGAGAAATTTTACTTTAATTATAAAACATAAATAAAAAATAACAGACATTATTCGAATACTCTAATGGCGAGATGCAAGCGTTCATTGTTGCTTTGTCGCCATATACCTTTTCAATAAGGTCAATGCAATTTTGGAGATCCATGCCAAAGTCAATGAAAGTCCATTCGATGCCCTCGCGGTGGTATTCCTCTTGCTCCAAGACGAACATGTGATGGTTAAAGAACTGCTGTAGTTTCTCGTTGGTGAAGTTAATGCAGAGTTGTTCAAAACCGTTGTACTGCAGGTGAATGTGAAATGTTAAGCGAAGGAAAAAGACTGGTTGCGGATTCTGTTCCGCACTTCAGTTACAATAATGAGTTGGGATAGATATTAAGGCTACTCCTGTCTCTACTCGGACAGCCTATGACAACGATACAACCACTGATCCCGTCGTGAGAGCCCCAGCGTCGACGGGTATGATATTTAACCCATTCGACTATTACCTTCTCAATAAGATCGATACAAGCGAGCAAGTCCATTCCAAAATCGATGAAAGCCCAGTTGATGCCCTCTTTCTTGTACTCTTCTTGTTCGAGTACGAACATGTGGTGGTTAAAGAACTGCTGCAGCTTCTCATTGGTGAAGTTAATGCAGAGTTGCTCGAAACCGTTGTACTTTTATAAAGAATAGGAAACCCATATAAATGGACAGGTTAGCACAGTTAGGAAATACTAAATTAGCCTATCCACCATTAGTGAGCGCGGAACGACATGAAAAGCTAAAATTTATGCCACTATAGATGACTCATGGTCCAACCGAGGATTAAGCGCACTCGGTATACCTTCTCAATAAGATCTATGCAGGCCAGTAAGTCCATTCCGAAATCAATGAACTCCCAGTGAATTCCTTCTTTGGTATATTCTTCTTGTTCCAATACAAACATGTGGTGATTGAAGAATTGTTGGAGTTTCTCGTTGGTGAAGTTAATACAAAGTTGCTCAAAGCCATTGTACTAAGAAATAAATTATCATTAACATCATACATATTGACAAGTTTTGTTGATTACTCCTCCTCTTTACTTATAAAATAATATATATAATAACTAGTCAATATAATAATAATATAATGGTACATAATCATAACATTCTTTAACAAAAAATAAATAACAATTCTTTTATTAGTGAAGCAATTAAACAAATTCGTAGTCATGTTGACTGTACGTAGAATGTCATTTTAATTGTAGTGATGCAATTTTTTTGGTTTAGGATGTACATCACAATTCAAATGTATGATATGTTTAAACTATATTCCATATATGGATATATCTAAGTTCAGGCTATATTTTTTTATTTCATCTATAAATTGACTTATGATCCATGTATGGATAAGTCTGACTTATTTAGGCCAATCACCTTTTCAAAAGACCCAAGTCCTCAATACTTACGTCGAAGATCTCGAAACCGGCGATATCCAGTACACCGATGAAGTGCTGCCTCTTCTGCTTGGTATCTAGGGTCTCGTTACATTTCTTGACCAGCCATTTGAAGAGACGATCGAACACACCCTTGCAAAGGGCACCGACGGAGTTGAACACCTGGTCCTTGTTACGACCCTGGGTGACGAACTCGTTACCGACCTTGATCTTGGGTTTCAACAAGTTCATGTACAAGTCCTGACAGTCGACACCGAGAAGTTTGGCAACCCTCTCACCATCCTGGAAAAATATAAAAAATATATTAGAATATTCACATTAACAATTGAGAAAATCTTGGGACATCGCGATGAAGTAAATTTTTTGTGAGTAAATACTCTTCTTGGAAGTTGAAGATATATACTACTTTAACTGATACTTGCCTCAGTACCGTCAGCTTCAGCCTGTTCCTCGCGACCCCTCTGCTTGAACTTCATACCACCCATGTGCATGACAGCGGCGGTGATCTTGTAAACGTTGTCCTTTTCCTCTTGGGTGAAACCCAGAATGTCGAAGGCTTGCTATAATACCATAAAATATATTAATGTTTCTGTTTTTTAAACTACTTCAAAAATCTTCACTCGATCAATTTTATTATACTAATAAAATTGTAAAAAAAAATCGCAATCATTAGCATCTTGCCAAAGATAAATGGACCGAAATTAACAGAAAATTTTGAGGCCTGTAGTAACTTGAACATACCGTGTTAGTACAAGAAGCTCGAAGTTTTTATTGTCTTTCGATTTAAAGTTCTAAGGGAAATAATATTCAGGTTTATAGGTAAAATAATTTAAATAATGATAATGATATTGATTTTACATATATACTCGTAAATATTTGAGATATTGATATTAGAGTAATTAAAATTATTACTCTAATAGTAAATTCTATTAAAACACATTAAAATACTTACGGAGGTGTTAGTTATTGAAGAAAAGCATTAGCACACAGGAGGAGCATTAAGAAAAGTATACTTTTCAAAAGGGGTGCACAAAAAGAATTTTGAATTTCACATATATAGAGTGTATACAATTTACCAATTCAAACCTATGGGACTGTCGCAAAAATATCTACTTAAAAAATCTAATTTAACTATTTTCTATGATAGATTTGTTTACACTTATATCCATTATAGTCAATATTAATGGTCCTTTCACATACTTGTTCTGTATTTGTATTATAAAATACAGAATATACCGTGTGCGTCACGTAGCCATTTCGATCAGATCATGTCAACAGTCAGAAAGTTCGATTTCCCTTTACACTTACATCGGTTAATGTACATTCTTCACCGTCATCGACGTTGGGGATAGTAATCTTACCCTGGGCGACGTTATGGTAATCGTAAATGTCGTTTGATAAGAAGCACATTTCTGTAGATTAAACAACCGGAATTAACACGACGCCAAAGCTGCCAGATCCTAAGTTGTGGGGTACCCTATATGTCTGTGTTGTGTAAGTATACATATTAGTTTTTTGGGGTGCTTGTGCTGGATCGGGATCTGGGCCGATTACATATTTCCGTGATAAAACTTGTGCATAAAGCCCTTTTGAACACTTGCAAGGAGCGAGCATGTCATGTATAGGTCAGATCTGAAATTTCACCTTCAATATATATAACCAATCACCGTATATCTGAATCAAGACGCACGCTCCATGCTCAGTTCGCGACTTACAACCGTCAATTCGAACTCTGCTGCGTCGTTGACTCCAGGTATACGTGTCGTCCCTTGACTTAAGAGGGGATAGTCGGACACCCGGTTGCTTAGCATCGTCATTTCTGTGAACATCAAGCCAAGATCTGACTTACACATGCATTGACTGAGTTACAGCTCAGCCTTAAGCGAAGCAGGAAGCGATAAAGGTAGCCAAAGTACAAAACATCGATAAGACCAAATGAGCCAGTAGTCATAATCTGGACTCACGTCAGTGATTTGCATTTCCTCGCCGTCATTGACGCCGGGAATAACAGTCTTGCCTTGTGAGACGATGTTGTAGTCCATGATGTTGTTGGACAAAAAGCAGATGTCTAAAAAGGTCATCAATTACAGTCATGTTTAATAATTGATGATGGAAAACCAAACTTAAGGAAACACGCCAACGTCCTTGTGGCTTTCGGGGATAAGAAAAGTACTATAACTATTTTGTGTTCTCGTGCATATTCAGTAGCAAAATATCTCAATTGCTGACCGGTTCTATGCGGAACAGCAATTGGGGTGGTAAGAAAAACAGTGGTAATTGCCGACAGGTCACCTAGTCTCAGTAGGTAGGCACTTACGTCGGTCAAAGTACATTCCTCGCCATCGTCTACGTTGGGGATGGTAGTTTTTCCTTGTGATACGATGACATAGTCATATATGTCGTTTGACAGCTGACACATCTCTAAATATTGAAATGCATGTTAATTCACATAACATACTGTTTTGTTGTAGTGTAGACATTATTTGTAGAAAGTGAGGACGCCAATATATCTGTGTATCAATATATAGTTCCAAGAGAATTTTTAAATGTAGTAAACTGTAAAATGCTACAAATAATCATAAGTCGTAAATTATAGTAATTGAATTTTTAAATGACGGTCATGACATAGTATTGTGTATTTGTGTGTAGTGTGTATATGTGTAAAGAATTATTTCGGACATCTTAAGAACTAATATAACTTGTTAATACTGTAATATATAACTACTATAATTTCCAATTCTTATTATTATTCTATCTCTTTATTAATAATTTTTGTCATAATATAAACATTATTTTTTTCATTTTGCCATTTGATATCTAAAACTAAAGTTTAATTAATTATAATAAATTAATCTTGAATATCATGGCAAGAATTTAAAATAAAATCCAAAATTAGATTCAACTATTGTGAAAGTAAATTTCAATTGTGTATGTTCATTCCAGTTTTACGTATACGCACCCTTAAGTCCAGGTACAGAGCCGGACATCATTTGGTAGAAGATGTGGTAGGAACGCTCAAGAGCTTGTTGGGAGATTACACGAGCCTTCTCGAGCAGGTCTGGCGAAAACAAGTTGTTTTAGATACTAATTCCAATAAAGATTTTAGGCTAGGGTCACATTTAGCGTATCTTCGATGCCGGTAGTAATTTAGATGCAATTTGGTGTATTGGCGTTTATAGTAGATGATAGCAACCAAAGATCAGCCTAATGTGGTGCTAGCCTTAAGGGTACAGTCGACTTCCATAGTACTTACAGGTTTCAATGTCGGCACCAGCCAATTTGCCGGAGTTACCGAAGTGAATACGAATGAATTTACCCTGTGGAAGAGAGGATACATTTTTGTTAGTACGGTAACAAACAAAATGCTTAATGTCAATAGACTGATATTAGATGTTCGAAGAAGTAGATTTTCTTTTGATACAGTTTTGACTGACTGACTAACTAGTTTTGTGGTTATTTCTAGGTTCAAATTTTAAGTACTCTAATAGTGATTCAAAATGTCGGTCATGCAATAGGAAAATATTTTGATAGCGACAAAGTAATCCAAAACTTTCAAAGCAAAAGATGCAGTAAATTAAAAAAATATCTTTAATGGTACATTTATTTCCAACTTATTTTTATAGTTTAAACGTTTTAATTCCTGATCAAAGCGGTTTTCGAATAAATTAATCAAGATCATTGAAAATTGTTAAATTATTTTTGAAAATTGGCAGCTAATTCCGACATTGCCACACTTAGGTGAGCTTTCGTATGAACGTTCTTATGATAGTGAGTGAATCAAGGGATAAGGGAGTGAATAAAGAACTTGGTGTGAAGATGGATCTATAAGAATATAAAATTAATTAAAAAAAAATATATACTTACGAAACGGGAAGAGTTGTCGTTACGGGTGGTCTTGGCGTTACCAAAGGCTTCAAGGACAGGGTTAGTCTGGACGACTTGATCTTCCAAGGATCCCTTCTTCTCCTGGCTGGCATCCTTCTTCTGCGACGCACCGACGGTGGCGAAGTACGCAATTACCTTCTTCGTGTTCTCAGTCTTACCAGCACCAGACTCACCGCTGGTCAGGGTAGAAAACAATTTATTATTATCATTCATAGATAGTCCATTACCTAAGAATGAATGGTTTAAAAACGACGAAGTTATGAAGTAATAGACTAATAAAAAAATACATACACAGAAACGACAATCTCCTTTTTTGTATTCGGTTGATTAACAATTTAAAAATTTTAGAATAACTTAAAATCAATTAACAAAAAATATGATTAACACTGCCGTGTGGTCCCGGCATAGAATGGGCTACCCCTTCCTTTACCGTGGGTGTCGTAAGAAACGATTAAGAACCACGTGGTTCCCCCTGGAAACCATTGTGAACGATTCTTGTTGAATTGCGTTGCCATTCCTGAGCACTCAAATGTTATTCCTCTGTACCCTGTAAATTCACGCCATATCCCACCCTTCAAACCGAAACACAGTCATGCAAACACAACTGCTTGACAGTAGAAACGACTGGGACAGAGGTACCCAAGCAATCGATTTTTGTACAAAGTCTCACTGTAGTGTAAATATTTTAATGTGTCCAATGTAATTTATTTACAATAAAGATTTTACAATAAAATACAATAAAAGTATTTTCATACTTACGTAATCAACATAGATTGATTCTCGTGGTTGGTCAACATGTTTACGTAAGCACCATCGGAAATGGCGAAGATATGGGGGGGCACTTCCGAACGACGCTTGCCACGGTACAGCCTGGCGCATCGTGTGGTGTACACGGGGAACCTCTTGTAGGGATTGATGGCGACGCAGAAGAGACCCGAGTACGTCTGCGGTGATGAAAGTGACGATTATTCCTTCTGGTGATAACAATGCATCTGATGATATGAATAAAGTGAAAAGAATAGAAGAATACCATAGCGTCATGATTAAAAATGACTGAATATACAAAAAAATGAACATGTTTTAAAAATTATATTGTGATGACGAAAGTGATAATTATTCCTTATCATATCAGTGAATGTGATGGAAAATAAAGAAAATGAAGAATTCGAAAATGTTACATTTAAAATTTATGTTCATTTTTTAATATATGAAAAATAAATTTTATATTAATTTAACTGATTGACGAGAATTTAATGAAATTACTACTCATACGTACTTTAGAGTTCATTAAATTCTCGTCAACTAATTTTATATATGAATACCATAATATTTAAGGATTTACTAATTAATTGATTGTATGTAAAATAGAATAGAAAAGATAAACGAATCGAATGTGATGAATCATGATGAAATGACATAATTTAGACACAACTCACACACAAATACAGAGATAGTATTGTATTGATACTTTAAATCTCTGATTTTGAATATTGTGCAAAAGAATTCTCTGCAAAAACGTATTTTTTTATAGATCAGTAATTCAAATTTGTGAACCAAAATATGAGTTTATTGTTAATTACAGAGTTTCTCTTGCACACATTTGACACGAAAGAAACATAATAAAAAAAAAATTAAAAACGAAAATAGACTTATAATGACACGTAGAGGTTGAGTACTGTAGTGGTACTTTTATACTCTACAGGAAATCAAAACAGAGTAACAGATTCTATCAAGAGAATAGGAAATAAAAAAAAACACACCCAATTTTATACTAAACAAAACATAAATAATCTAAACGCAAAGACCTAAATAGAAATGAAGAGCTCCAACGAAGTCCCGAACACCGACTTGTCCTGTCAAAAGGTTTCAAGTCTGGTAAAAGGAGGTCAGGGATTAGTCACATTTGGAAATTGGATTGGACTGTCCAGTCCTGTAGACACGTTCTATTTTAAAATTATACTTGACAAAACAAAATTGAATAATCAAAAATCGTAAATACTTTCGTTAGTTGACGATTCGAAAATAGCTTCATTGATCTATTGCCAAGTTATGTGCTGGATATAGAGTAAATATATGTTTTATGTACTACTTACTTATAAATAATATATTTAATTTGATTAATACATTCAAAGTCGAGTATTGACTCGATAATATATCTACAGTGTATTGCTCGATGCTTATATGCATTGTATATTAAAGAGAAATAAGATACTATGTTAAGAAAACCGGGCGAATGCATCCGTTATCTATATTTGTCTAACACAATTTATCTATATCCGTTCACTTTGGGAGCTGTATTGAAAAGATTTACGAAGCGCGGAGAATATTTTCACACCACCAAAATAACTAATAAATCGCCACCAAAATAGATTCAGCCAACGTATTGACGATTCTATTTATAATACACAAATTAAAACATCCATCCAAGATTAATTGCGCTCTTCACGGGTAACGAGTGCACTTTAGTACTTGGTTGCAATCCAATATCCAATAGACGTGTCTACAGCGATGACAGATAAGAAAGGTGAGGTGAACATGCACACTGCAACGCTAACTCCAACCGCTGGCCCTATTCCTGACTTACGTAGATAAGCTTATGGTAATATCTTTGCTTCAAGTTATACAAAACTGAAGCGTCGTTGAGGTATGTCAAGTTGGACATATCCTCGCATTTCTCGTATTTAGGTGGGTTGACTTGACCTACAAGATCCTTCTTGAAGTCTTTTGTCTGTGGAACAGAAGGTTACATTAGTTTCTAATAATGGTAAAGGCGCTTGTAGCGCCTACTTACATAAATGAGTTTCGCATAGTATCGCTGTCGAAGATTATGGAGCACAGCCGCATCGTTTAAGTACGTGAGATCAGCCATGTCTTCGACTTTCTCGAATTTCGGCGGGTTTACTTGTGAGAGGAGTTCCTTTTTTAATGTCTTCTCCTGCTCATTTAATAGATGGATTTAGTATATGTAAGAAAATTAGACTTTATTAATTCGTTCATAAATATTAAAATCAAGTTGAGTAATTCATTAAACATCTATTCCTATGTCAGTTGTAAAATATAGTGCATGTGATCTGAAATACATGAATCCATTCACCACAACTATTTTCTTTTTAAATTAATTTACTACTTTTACAGTAGTTTCCAAAACTTTTTACTAATGTAATGACTTATTAATACCGTTAAAAACGATTCCTCAATTACATTCCCAACATTAATTATATTTTACAATGAATGAATTTTGTAATAGTATGGTTTCTGTTCTATTAATGATTTTTAATACCCAATAATTTATTTTATCTTATAATTCGATAATCGATGTGTACTAATATTAATGTATAAATAATAATTTAGATGGATAGATTGTTGATAATGTTATTACTAATTGATTGTTACTAACTCAAAAAAAAAAACCCTTATGGTTTTCAATATGTATGTAACCCTAATCTAAATTTCTTTCATTCATTTATTTTAATTAGCTATCTAGAGATAACTGTATTATGTTAAGATTGCCATTCGATATTGGCTCCTTTACCTCGCCTCCTGGAAGGTTGACGGTCACCAGATCACCCTTGGTGGCCTTAATCTCGCCCTGCACGAAGCCCTCCTTTTCGTCTGGCACCCAACATGCCTTCTTGCCATCGTAGGGCTTGCTCTGATCGATACGCTTCTGCTCAAGAGAAACGAACAGGTATGGGGTCGGATCGGGATCGTCTCCCTCTTGGACCACAGGCTTCGGCATTTCGGAGGGCTAACGAGACTTTTGGGCTAGTCGAGACACGAGAACACAGCCCTGGAGCCTTCCTGCGAATATATACACCACACGTTAATGTCTACGAAACTTTTCAAAGATCAAGAACCGGCCCCGAAACGCGCGTCTATTTGTGGCTGTAATCCGAGTAGTAGCAGATTCGGGAACGGTGCCAGCGCGCACGCCGTTTGCGTAATACACGACTTTTATGCGCAAGTTTTTTATTAGCTTATCCCAATCGGCCCTTCACGGATGTTACGTCACATGGAATGCGAGTCTGGACACACGCCAACCGATTTATTCGATTCTTATTATTGTCTTTTATGGTGCTGGTCGATGGGTCAATTACGTTTTGTCCAGTCAGTTAAAATTTAAAAGTAAACTTGTTTGCTATTAAATAACTAGTGCAAATATTAAATGTGTCTGTTTTATTTATACTTTCATATACTATTTGTCATGTTAATTAAACAAACAGTTCATCTATGTCGGCATGGATCAACATTATCAATCAATCACTTAGAAATTTCGCTCAACGATCGACTGAACCATAAACCAAACACCACGAAGTTTCTCACTTCTCGACAGACCACTTCACAAATCAATCCAATCGATAAATCAGCTGGCGGATGTACACTGATGCACTGATGTGCATAAGCACTCGCGGACACTATAGACGCAGCGCTGGGCGCGCGGGGTACGTGCGTGCGTACTCACGTTTGAAGCCGTTCTGACCGGCGGCGGGGCGCTCTGATGCTTTTTATACCAGCAATTCGATACCATCGCTCGCGATCACCCCATTTTAGGCGGATGCCAACCTGCCCAGGCTACACTTTCAGACGAGCTTAGCTTTCACTACAGCGGGAGCGTTCGCTGAAGCGAGTCCCCAACACTCACTCGCGTCTGGATGCCTCATGCTCGTTGGCGTTTCCTCTACGGGTGATCTCGATCTTGATTTTGCATGCTGCAAATGGAATGACACTGGAATGATTATTAAAAATGATATCCGGTATGGTTTTTAGTATTTATAGAGTTGATGGTAAATTATAAAATATTGTTTACGGGCAATAATTTAATTTTAGTTTTAAGACGTTGAAGACTTTCTTGGAATCTTGATTCAAAACAGAATGAGTTGTTTAAACAATTATCTGAAATAGACAGCGCTGTTTTCGATTTTTCTCACGCGTTAAAAACATTGTTTAAGCTAAACAAGTTTTTCAGAATTAGGAAAATTTTTATTTTTAATATTATATTTTTATTTTGAAAAGTAAGAAGTAAAAAACGACTGGACCCATAATAGTGCAAACTAACTCGAATAAACTGTATTTATTTATTTATCAGATCTAAATTCGTTGATATATTAACATTTTTTGACATGCGACTCCAAATGAAAAACTAGTAAAAGGCCTACCTAATGGAAAATGGTCACCGTCGCCTATAGACATAAACAACAGCATGAACACAAAGATTTCCTTGTTTTTACCATGAACATTACAAAATACTTATACTCTCGAGGACTATGGTGTTAAGCTTTCTCAAAACAAAATGTCAGGGTTAGCCGTTAAAAATATTATTCAATTAAATACCCTCTTTAATTAAATTCTCAGTAACAATTTCATTTGACAAAGTTTATTTCTGTGTTGGTCTCTTTTTTTTTTGACAATATTGATTACAATTTTTTTTTCTGATTCCTTTTTATTTATTTTGTTATTTATTAATTGTATTTACTTTAAATCTGTTAATAGTTGAATTCATTATACTGTCTGTTAACGTGATTTATTGTATTTTTGTTATTATTAATTTATTTTCAATTTTCTTTTCAATAAAAAAAAAATTGTAATTATCAATATTTATATAGGATTATTTTGAACATATAATAAATTAGGAAATTCAGGAAAATCTACAGAACATATGTTCATGTTCGTATTATAATAATAGTCATATAAAAGTGAAATAAACAAAAGACACGTAAAGATAGAATTCTTTATCCGTCTGATGTCATTGATGAAGGTCGATTGAAAACAATATCAGTTATCACTTTTGAGTTTTCATAAGTCATTACTTGTTTTCTTTCTTTAGAGATTGCAAAAAGCGATCACTGGATTAAGGAGCTATCTATATACATGCATGCTACATGTAAGTGATGATTATCACTTTCCATCAGGTGTTTTAATGAATAAAAATGGAATGATAAGCCCTCCTGTGCTATCAGTAAACACTGGCGGAGCACCAATGAGGGATGACACCTATAAAGATGAAGCAGACTATAAAAATATATCATTACTCTGTGTTTCAAGTCTAGACTCACGTGAATCTACAGTCAGGATCTACACGGGGATAACTTATTTTTTCTTACTTTTTAATCCACTAATAAGAATTAAGATTAATTAATAATAATAATATTTATTTAATCAGACCACATAAGGCCCATTTTGTTAGTTATAAATTGACTTAACCTATGTTAGTAAATCAGCGGTCATAACGCTCTTGCATTGATAACCTGTCCCACCCAATATTTTAGGATGGGACAGTCCATTTTGTCAGCAATAATTAAACAAAAGTCGATTGCTTGGGTACCTCTGTCCCATTCGTGTTTCTACCGTGAAGCAGCTGTGTTTGCATGGCTGTGTTTCGGTTTGAAGGGTGGGATATGGCGTGAATTTACAGGGTACAGAGGAATAACACCTGAGTCCTCAGGAATGGCAATGCATGGAGGGTATCATGGGCGAAACAGTATAGTCTGTTATGTCCATGGTACTGCTCATGTATATAGGCGACGGTTACCACTTTCCATCAGGTGGGTCGTCAGCTTGTTTGCCATTCTAAGTTGTTTAAAAAAAAAAAGGTTTCTCAATAAAAATAAAGAATAAAAGTATGTAATATATAAATGAATTACTTTAAAGTGGCTTTGATTATGTATGTGAAATGCAAATTAAAGCATAAAATTCAAGTGAAATATGACAGATACGTAGTTAAATATTAAATACTGTTATAATCCATGTAACTTACGCTACGATCCACCAAAATCATAATTTAATTAACTATCAAAACAAACAGTTCTCTCCTGTCACAACATGTCGAATTACATCGAAATATGAATCTCTTAATATATTTATTCATACTGGACTTCGGTCTGTCAGGTATCTTAATATCCGTGAAGATTGTTTATCAAATTGTAGGCTAGATTGACATTTTTATTTCTAATAATATGAATTGAAATGGAATGACAACCTTAAATACGAGTACGTTGTAGGGAGTTAGTGGATGTAGGTGGTTTTTTTAATGGATGATAATGAAATGGTAACCCCGCCTGCGCTATCAGTATACACTGGCGGGGCACCAGTGAGGGATGATAGATGAGTATGAAAGCAGGTCAGTTAGCCCATCGTGACGAATGCAAGAAGTATTAATCACAATGGTTTCCAGGGGGAACCGCGTCGAGGTCGACCTAACAAGGTTTGCTAGCAATGAGGCCATTACTTCACATTACTAACGATCCTTTCCCCCAAATGTAGGTAATTTAGGACCGTCACTTATAGCAATCTATGGGATAGGCCTATGTCCAGCAGTGGACGAATAATGGCTGGAATGATGACGATGATGAATATGAATTTGAGAAAAAAATATCTATTGAATCGATTCGAAATGAAATCTCATCACGATCCATGAGAAAACCGACGTTCAAATAAACATTTTCGATCTTTTCATATGCATTTTGGTAAAAAATGAAATTACACAAAAAAATGAACAGGTTTCTACAAAAAAGAGCAAAATTCTCAGCCTTGCTAGGCTACAATATCTATATAATAACTATCGTGAGTCACACTGTATTGTATATAGTGCAGCTCGCGACAAAGCCGTGAACCGAGCTCATGAATAAAGACTCCAAATAAGTTCGAAATTAGTCGAATATTCCTAAATTCAAAACGTGAGTAAAGTAATAAATAATTACAGTATCTACATAATACAGAATAGATCAATCTAGATCTATTCATTTTTGTATCGATCTATCTTATATCTATCGATGGACCTCAATAATCGATTCAGAAAATCGAAAATGGAGGTTCGACACATCGATTTTCGAAATATATTGGAATTGAGATCATAAACTCTAATTTGTGAACACAATATCAAACAGAGAATAGAGGAAATTGCCATGAAATATTTTCCAAAATTTCGGGACTGAACAAAACACAAATTTGATGTTATTACTTATTACATACTGTTTAAAAATATTGAAAATATTAAAATACAATTCCTTTGGACTGTTATGGTAGGATTTATGACGGACGAAATGTTAAACTCCATTTACGGTGTTGATTTTTCTATGAACGAAAACATGAAATTGAGTCCGAAAACTCGGAATTTCATTTCACGGTAAACCCTCCATTCCTCTAGAGAAGTGACAAACGATTGAGTGGGAATGAGAAATAGATCGTCTCATTAATGATGACGATCCAATCGGTGAATTCTGCTCGATTGAAAAAGTACAAACGAATCTATTGATAGAAACGTTATAATATAGAGGCTTACGAGTCTATAAGATAGAATGGGATGAAAATATTTGCTGTCTTGTTCTTTCTTGTCCTCTCTTGTTGTCTTGTGATTTGATAGATAGATTTGGTTACACCTTTTCTAGTATGGCCATTTAGAATAGTGAGTTAAACTCTCACGACATCGGGAGACGATCGGGAACCTAACTCTCTCTCTCTCTAATTTACGCAAAATAATGTAAAAATAAAATCTTATGGAGGTCATTAACCATATTATAACATAATAAGGTCATTAAACTAATTTACAGAATAATAAATCTAAGAATTATTTAGGTACACTGTCGTCATACTATTACAGATGTCTCTGTAAATACTTGTAATAAATTAATCTGGAGATTTTTTTATTTATAACCGGCTGGAGTTAAAAATGAGTCACTCGATGAGTATTAACTATTATATTTACGCTAGATTCAACAGATGACGGTAACTTTTTTTTTTTTAATTATTTAATTCCTCGTCGATCTAGCAGTTTACTCGTATCGTGAGACGAAGTTTCGAGTGTAAATTTCGTATTACCAAATGGAAAATGCAAAATTAATTGGCGCATAGTAACTTGCACACTACTACGCCTTCCTTCATTTTTCTTCTCTAAATAGACTTTGTACAGATTAGATTTTTTTTATACAACTTAGAATGACAAACAAGCTGACAGCCTACCTGATGGAAAGTGGTAACCGTCGCCTATAGACATGAGCAGTACCGTGGACATAACAGAGTATACTGTTTCGCCCATGATACCTCCGATGCGTTGCCATTCCTGAGGACTCGGGTGTTATTCCTTTGTACCCAGTAAATTCACGCCATATCCCACCCTTCAAACCTGCATGTGGTTCTCCCTAAAAACCATCGTGGTTAATTCTAGTTGAATTCATCATGATGGGTTACCTGCATTCATCCTCACCTATCATCCCTCACTGGTGCCCCGCCTGTGTATACTGATAGCGCTGGCGGGGTTACCATTCTATTTTCATCCTCAAAAATAATACCAAATCCATGGTGTTCAAAAACGAATTTGCAAATCTATAGTTATTTGCAAGTAATCTGTTACACACACACACAAACGACACATCGCGTGGTCGTTGGCTCGACGCCATCGCACCTTTATTAACAGTTCAGGTAGCAAGGTATTAATTTGTTTAAATAGACTGGCTTAGATTAATTCGTTACCGGGATAAGTGAATTACCTTAATGTAATTAGATGTGGGACGACCCCCCACTTGAGGAGGGAAAGGGATTATTAGTAATGGGGTCAAATAGCCCCATT